TTCGCTAAGATAAATACAAACAGGGAAAAGGCTGCTCCGCTTCCGTTTGGCCTAGCAGCATCGGCGGCCTCCCTGTCTCTCTCGCACCCGTCCGCAAGGCCGGCGAGGCCCCGCGAGTGCGAGAGAGACAGAGAGACGGCGGCGTTCGGAATCGCCACGGGCTGGCCGTGGGAGTGGCGCTGCAGCGCTGCAGCTAGCGCGGGGCGTTTACTGTTTGCAGCCGCGTCCTCGCCGAGGGCGGGGCGGGGCGGGGCGGAGATAGCCATGATAACGGCCCGGCCGACGAGCCCCAGCACCATGGGCGGGGCGGCGTGGCGGCGGGGCGCGTGGGACCGCCGTCGACGACCATCGTCTCGGCCAGCATCGCCTCCAACGGCCACCACCACGCCGCCGTCGTCGTTGTAGAGCCTGGCAGCAGACTGATGCCGAAGGAGTCCGCAGCGTCGCGACGCCGAAAATACAACAGCCGCGGCAAGGTCGCCGCGCGTCAGGCCGACAGGGGGCAGCGCGGGGCGTCGCGACGGACGAGCAGACGAGCAGAACGCGCAGAACGCTTGGCGCCGCGGTACAGTACGCGGACACACACACACACTCACACACACGCTCACTCTCTAGGCAACGGAAGCGGAGGAGCGACGCAATCGCGAGCCTTTCTTTCGGCAAGTCCCCCGATTCAAGCTCGCCTCGCCGCCCTAGCCACCCCTTGCACCCCGCGAGCAACACGTGGCCGAGGGTGGCGTCCTTGGCGGTCTGCGGGCCCGTTCGTCGCTCTGTCCCTCTCGCTCCATGAGTGCGAGAGAGACTGCTGGCGGGGCGGTCCAGGGGCGGTCCAGGGGCCAGCGCGATCCCCTTCCCCGCCGTGGTCGCAGTCGCAGGCGACTTTGGCGCGCGACTCCGCGTTCCCAGAAACGGAACATCGCCAACAACGCCAGCGGACAGAAGGACAGATGCTCGACACGCGGAGCGCGGAGGCGAGATGGCGCCGTGGACAGACGGACGGACGGACAGACTGCGCGACACACATAACCAGTCCAACTCGATAACCGCTTGATGGGGTGCGAGGCAGAGCGAGGCTGAGCGAGGCGCCGGCAGGCCGTCTCTCCCAACGAGGTCAGGCCGTACTAAAAAGCGCGCCGGCGTCCCGTCTCGTCCAGCTCCAATCTCCGCACTCCCTGCACACTGACTTCTGCCGTCGCTCTGTCTCCCTCGCACTCGTGAGGCGTCCCGTGTGGGTGCGAGAGAGGCAGGGCGACGAAAGCGACTCTCTGCTGGATGTGCCCGTCGCCGTGGGTTCACGGCCGCGGAGGCGCCTGTACACTCATGCCGAAGGGCCGCCTCGTCGCTCTGTCTCTCTCGCACCCACACGGGACGCCCCACGAGTGCGAGAGAGACAGAGCGACGGATTCAGTCCGCTGCCCGCGGAGTGCTCACGTCATACTCCCCGGCGTTATAATAGCCGTCCTGCCGGCCTGCCCAGGAATTACTCAGAGATTGCTGCCGCGCTGGAGTCCGCTGGAGTCCGCTGGAGTCCGCTGGAGAGCTGGAGACTGATGGCCTCCAAGCTCCCGGACGCCAGCCCGCCTCGCTGCAGCCGCCCTGTGGACTCGTTCAGCTCCCATTCCCAGTGTCCCAGCGCTGGGCGTCTGTCGCCCGTCCCACTTACACACTCTGTCTCTCTCGCACCCATGCGGGACGCCCCACGAGTGCGAGAGAGACGGAGCGACGACTCTCAGGAGTCAGTGTGCAGGCCTTGCCGCCTCACGCCCCGGACGGCGTTGGACGGCGTTCGCTTCGCTCCGGACAAATGCAATCCATCCGTCACTGCCCACTCGATGCATTTCTAGTTCTAGGCGGGGCGGGCGGCGCGGCGCGGACACACGTCTGTCTCTCTCGCACCCCTCCGGCACGCCCCACGAGTGCGACAGGGACAGAGACAGCCTCCCTTCCGACAGAGACGCCGGCCGAGGTTCCAAACTGCCTTCCGTGACAAAGTGGCGCTCCATTAAGCACGCACTTTAATTGGCGTTCTAGATCACTGATAGTGTTGGTCGCCGGCCGAGCCGCCACTTGGCCGTGGTGCCGCCGAGCCGCGACCCGAGCCGCGGGTCCCAAGGCGCGTTCCGCGCGACGTCCACACGGCGCGGCGTGGCTCGCGCCCACTCACGCATAATTAGGTGGGGCAATGCGACCCCACGCCCCGTCCGTTCGCACATGCCGCCTCGCCGCGGCCGCCTCGCACCTCCACAGACACACACAAAGAGGAAAGGATTGTTTGAAGCGCCGTTGCCGTCGCCGCGACACGCTGCGCGCTGCAGCGGGGTGCTTCGTCGCTCTGTCTCTCTCGCACCCCAGCGGGACGTGCGGGACGCCCCGCGAGTGCGAGAGAGACAGACGGTACGAAGCGCGAGGCTCACGTGTCGCGTCGCGTCCTTCCCGTACCCGGAACACGCGGCGGCCGCCTCCGGAAAGCGCCCTCGCTGCACACCGATTCAGAGAGTCGTTTTCGTCGCGCTGTCATACTTACAGTGCAGTGGCGCCGCGGACGCGGTGCGGACGCAGCCTCCCGGAGAGTGAGATGCCCGCTATCTTATCTGCGCCCGGGGCGGGGCGGAGGGTGTCAGCATTCCGAGAGTTCGTCGCTCTGTCTCTCTCGCACCAACGCGGGGCGCCGCTCGAGTGCGAGAGAGACAGAGCGACGACTCTCGGAATGGGTCCTGCAGCGGGCAGCGCATGAGGCGCGCGCATCCAGTGCACCGCGGCGAGGGCGTCACCGCCAGCGTCACCGGGCAGGCCAGCCACGCGCCGCGCGTCCACCTCCCGGCGTCTCTCTCGCATCCCCGACGACAGCCCTGCCGGTGCGACAGAGACGCCTCTTCAGAATCGCTCACCTGGACGGAGAAAGCGGAGGGCGCGGAGGTCTTACATAGGCGGAGCATGGCGGAGCGCGGGGCACTCACTATCATCAAATACTTTCACGGCTTGGCCGGGCAACGCGGGGCAGCGCGCAACCCGCCGCCGATACCACATCCGACTGGCCGGCCCGCCGCTCTGTCTCTCTCGCACTCACGGGGGCGCGGCGGACAGCAGGCCGAGGCAGGCCAAAGGCACCCGAAGGGCCAAAGCTTCAATTAGCGGCCGAGATTTGGGCGGGGCGTCGTCTGTCTCTCTCGCACCCCTTGCGGCCTGACGGGCCGGCCTGCGAGTGCGAGAGAGACAGCGCGCTGTTCGGAAGCAGCAGTCATCGCCGCAGTGTAGCGTAATGCCGAGTCCGTGCCTGCACTACACTGTGTGTGCACCGTGTGTATACACCGTCAACACGGCAGCATGCATGCTGCAACAGCCCCAGCCCCTACACTGGCAGGACGTCCAGGACGTCCAGCCTTTCCGCCGGCTTTTCGCTTTTCCGCTTAACCGCTTTTTGCTGCCCTCCTTTCGGCCCGCTCCTGCACTCTAAATTTTTAACGCGGCCGCCATGGAGGCCAGGGCCGCGACCCCTGTAGAGCAGCAGTGCAGCACAGCGGCCGGATGTTCGGAAGCCGCCGAGCGATCTGTCTCTGTCGCACTCGTGGGCCGCCCCGAGGGGGCGCGAGAGAGACAGAGTCCCGTCCCGATTCTTCCGAGACGTTTTCCAGTTTCTGTCCGTCTTGACTGCTCGCTTGTCTGTCTTCACGGGACGTGGGACGCCCCGCCCCGCCCCGCCCCGCGCCGCCCCGCCCCGCCCCGCCACGGAGCGCAGCGACCGGCTCGGACGCCGCGGCACGCCTCCTCAACACGTCAGGATGGCCGAGCGGTCTAAGGCGCTGCGTTCAGGTCGCAGTCCACTTCTGTGGGCGTGGGTTCGAATCCCACTTCTGACAGATTATTTTCGTGAGCCGGCGACGGCGGCGCTGCAGTCTGATATGAGAAAACGTGAAAATCTCGGTGGAAGTGCTTTTCTTTGAGAGCGCTGGCGTTGTTGCGTCCCGCGGAGCAGCGAGCGGGCTGGCAGTCGCATTCCAGCCCTCTGAAAAGAAAAGCCAAAAGCGAAAAGCGCCTCGGGAAGCAAAGTCTCGAAATTCCAGCCCCCGGCACGCTCCTTCCGCTTCCCCCGAAGACCCGCCGCGCCGCTGCACTGCGAGGAGAGGGAGGAGGAATGCGGGAAGCTGCAGACTCACTCCGAGAGTCGCTCTGTCTCTCTCGCACTCATGGGGCGCTCCGTTCAGGTGCGAGAGAGACAGAGCGACGACTCTCGGAATGAGTCTGCCGGGAGGCGTCTAAACTCCCCGCCAGACACGTACCAGCGTATACCAGGGCGACGGGGATCCAGGACGGGACGGGGTGGTCTAGCCTAGGGTGGCCGCACGCCGCCACGCAGTCCCCCTCACCACCTGTTGGTCCTGCGGCTCCATTCTCCCTCCGGCGAGAGACAGCGACGGGTCACTGTAGTCTCCGCCCCGGCCTCACGCGACTCGGCTGACTTTTGGCCGCCTTGTCGCTCCTGGGGTTGGGGATGCACTCGTCGCTCTGTCTCTCTCGCACCAATAGGGGACGCCCCATGAATGAGAGAGAGAAAGAGCGATGAAGACGACTCTGAATACCGGTGTGCAGGCCCGCTAAACTCGACTCTGCTGCATCGGCTTTTGACTTGCTACGCGCACCACCCCTCGTCCGCGCAAATCCCCTTGCACCCCGCACCACCATGGTCTCTCTCGCACCTTTACGGGACACCCCACGAGTGCGAGAGAGACAGAGCGACGGGGTAATGACCCATGACGTGAAGGGTTGCTGCGCATGCACGTCCTTGGGCAGGACTGCGTCGCACTGCAGACTTATCCGGGAGTCGATTTCGCCGCTGTCTCCATCGCACCTGCAGGGGGGACCCCACGAGTGCGAGAGAGACAGGGCGACGAAAATGAGAATCAGTGCGCAGCGTGCGCAGCCCCTCGCGACGCGATGTCGTCCATTCAAACCAAAGCCACAAGGCAATGCGTGCTTAATCCAATTTGGACTTAAAATCTTACCTAGAGGAGGCCTGAGGGGGTAGTAGACTGGGAGCAACTATCAGCAGGAGGTGTCTCCAGCGATCCTGCACTGCGACATGTTATCCATCGTGCTGGTAGACAATGTCTGTCACAGTAACGCGCAGAGAGCACGACGCGCGTCTACCACAACAACAGCCTTCGGCCGACCCGGCGCGGCGTCCTGGCCTTCCTGCAACTGGTGGTCTTCCTCAGCAGCGACGCCAACTTGGAATCCCCGACGGAGACGTCCGACGCTCAAGCGGTGGATAGGCACCACGCGAGACAGGACAATCTCCCGCAGCGTCGGTCGCAAACGCTAAAACGCCTCGGACCCGATCGCGGTTACGTTCAAGACGGTCGCGCGCACTCCACTCGGAGTCAGCCGGCTGCCTTGCCTACCAGCAACTAACTGCCGCTGCCGCCGCGACGCTCGCTGGTTGGTTGCTGGCTGGCTGGCTGCCTGACTGGCTGCCTGACTGTGGCTGGCTGGCTGCTTGCCTGGCCGCCGCGCCGCCCGGTCGCCGGTGCACGGTGCAGCGGACCCCCTCCCTCCCACCACTGGCGGGCTTCCAACGCTTCCAACAGTGCAGCAGCGTGCAGCTCGTGCAGCATGCGTCCACCCCTCCCCCCTCCCACCCCCTCGATGCGAGTTACCTAAGTTACCCACCCCCTGCACGAGACTGATTCCGAGAGTCGTTCTCGTCGCTCTGCCTCTCTCGCGCTCACGGGGCGCCCCGGATGATGGGTGCGAAAGAGACAGAACGACGCAAGCGACTCTCGGAGGGGTAAGTGGCGGGGTTGGTGAGGTCAGTCCCCAATCAAGACAGCAGCCAAGTGGAAACGCCGGTAGAGTAATAGCACGTTAGCGCGGCCCTCAATCATGTCCTATCCCAACTCATTGATTACAGTGTTGCAGTCGAACGACCCGGTGCTCACTTGAAACGGAAAATTTATTTGTGAGTCCCAAACCGATTGAACTGAAGAAGGCGAACCAACAGGAAAGCTCAGTAAAGAAGGAGACTTAGGGAGTGGGCCCTTTTCATTTTTCAACATTCTGCCTCGAGTAAAAACTGCCCCGCCTCACCCCTTTACCCCCCACCCCTTTTTACGCGTCCCCCGCATCCCCTTACTTCTGCTTCCGCTTCCGTCCCGTGTCTCCCTCCCTCCTACCCCTTCCCCCTCCCCCCGTGCTGAGGTGGACGTAATATTTCTCATAAGCACTAAACACGCTTGCACAGCAGCCGACGTAACCGCTTGAATGTCTGCAGCCTTTCGTCACTTTTTTATGTTCATTCATTAATACTGTAGTTGTACAGTGCAAAAAGTACTGCTAATCCATAAGCGTCACTCGGAAGTGCCAAGATAAAAGTGCTTCATCCTTGTCACACATGTTAGTGCTCACAACAACAATCGTTGGTTGGTTAAGTTCTCCTAGAGGTGAAGCAGATAGAAGGAGAACAACATGTGGCCCCGGCTCATTTTAAGGCAATTTGTCCAAATTGGATCAAGCAAGCTCCTTAATACTCCAAAAGGGTGTATCTGGCCGGTTTCTCAGCAATGTTGGCTAAGCAGTAAAGTGGATTCCGAACAGTGGGTCAAACTGAACTTTAACGCAGAGCAACCATATACGCTCACTGAACAGCAAGTATTTGAAATCACTAAAGGAGACCAAAAAAAGGAATTGCAACTGAAGGAGCTCTTACTGAGGCTATACATAAGACATGAACGGGGCACTGAGTTACCCGATGCAGTCAAGCTGGAAAGTTTTGAAATCATGCTTAAGGCGGGCAGCAATCAACTGACAAGAATGCTCAAGTACTTATTAAGGAACCGCAGGTCAGACCAAAAGCTATTACTCCAGAAACAAGAAAATAAACTGAAGTTGGAAGAAGTTAGAAAAGAGCGATTGGAAACAGTAACAGAATCATCGTGGTTGGACTATAGTGTAGCCCACAATTGTTTGTTTCTGAAAATATATCAGAGGTCTACAGCTGCTGCATATAATATAAATGCACTAAGGGTAAATTCTGGTATTGTTTTTTTATACCTTTCTTCTCTCACATTTGCCAATAACAATTTTCAAATTTTTCTAGGGGCTGCAGTTTGGTCAAAAGATAATATTTGACTGCTCAATGGAGTCATACATGTGGGAAAAGGAACTTAAAAACACTGGTACACAGATACTGCTCTGTTATGATTTTGGTCGCAGGCAAAGGCGTCCCTTTTCCCTCCACCTTTGTAATTTAGACTTTAATGGAAGATTAGTGCATTATCTCAGAACACAACGCCCTGATTTTTTCGATCTCCCTATTAGCTTACATGAAGATTCTTACTTGAATCTGTTTGACAGGTAATTGTTAATTTCGTTGAAACACCCATAGCTCTGTAAAAAATGACTGTCCTCTTTAATCCTTGGTTTGCAGGCGGAAGTTGATATTTATTGACCAACGTGCCTCTAAAAGGTATGTTTATGATCCAGAAGACATTTACATCCTCCGTGCACTTGTAGACAGACCTAGAACTGCACCAGGAGTTGACAAAAAAGCTGCAAAAGAGAAGATACGATATGCATCTCTGCCTATTGATAAAGTTATTCAGTGGAAACCTAAAGCACACAAACACCTCTGTTTGGATCAGGTAAGTATTATGTAATGGAAATTTCTGTCTTAACTTACAAAATTCTCATGTTCTTTAATACAAGCATTGTATTCTTTCTCACTCAGTATCATAACATTCTCTTGGATGTGAAGGTATCTGGAAACTGGTCAAAAGCAGTGGAGGCCCACATGCCCAAGTCAAGATATGAGTCTATCCGAAGTTCAACTAGGAACAGACAAGAAGAATGAATCCCTTGACTAACAGTGGCTGTAAATTCTATTTAGCTAAAATATATAAAAATTAAAAAAAATTGTCATTATTGTTGCATTGTTACAATCCACCAAATATCCTCCTTAACAGTGGCTGCGCCGCTCGGGCTTCTTTTTCATTGGCACTTCCCTTGGCTGTATCAAGTTAAGGATTCTGAGCCATTCCGACTGATTCTGATTCTGACTCGTGAGTGAGTGAGAAGCTTGAAGGGAACTGATTTGGAAACATTTAAATATGAAAATGTTCACGAGTCCCTTGATTCCCGTAGAGTCCTTAATGCCCCAAAGGGCCGATTCCCGTCAAAGAGACTAGAGTCCGTGACTCTCAGGCTCTCTACGCAAAACCGAGAGACTTGAGTAACTTTTCTGAATCGTAAAGTTTTCATAAGAATGCAACAGCGAAGTGTTTGCACACACACACACACACATTACACCGCACCAAAACATCATGGCGTCCACGAGCAAATCAGGATTTTCTCAAGACCTTAGACTTTTTGCATCTGGTGATGCGGACGGCAAACTGAGAGTGTGGGAAACGCAACAGAATGTCTTGCTGCAGGAATATACCCCCAATTTGCACCTCACTTCGCCATGCTCCTGTCTCAAATGGCTCTGCGCATCAAGGAGACCGGAAAGCCATGTGGTTAGTTGCGTCTGGTATTAATTTGTCTAATCGTCGGGGTATTGGCTATGATATCCCTAAGACCTGGTGCCCACATAAAATTTTAGCCCCAATTTTGTTGTTCAAGTTCTCTCGCTTGAACAGTCTTAATGCTATGATTGTTGAAAGAGGCTTTGTTTATTTGTAGGTTAACGTTCCATAACCCTCAACATTTTCCTCCTCTGATGACAGCACACGTCTCAGTTCTATCTCTAAAAAACAAATTAAAAAAAGAAAGCGCATTCTTGAATTTTATGTCAAGAAAATCGTGCTTCTAAATATTACTCTATGAACAAATTTTCAATTTGAATACAACTTAATTTACTCTTCGTTCTACTTGTGCAGGACACAGGAGCGCCGCAAAAGAAAAAGAGAAAGTCTCGAGATGTTGGAGAAGATATCATTGCTATTGGTACCTCAAATGGTCGGATTTTACTGTACAGTGTTGCCTCAGCAGCCGTTGAGGGTGAGCTAGTTGGAGGGCACAAGAGTGCTTCTATTACGGGTCTCAGTTGGTTTCCTGGAACCAGTTTGTACAGCTGTGGTGGAGACAGCATTGCAGAGTGGGATATTGTCAAGGGGAAAGTGAAGAGGTATGGTTGCATTTGCAGGGTGCTCATTAAATAAAATATCTGTGACCATTACCTCATGAACGTAATTATTTACTTTCAGCAAATGGAAAGCAGGGACAGATCAAATTGCCTGTGTTCTTGTCTGCCCAGATGGTTCTCGTGTTTTATCTGCTTCCCGGTCAATAAAACTTTGGGATGCAACCAAACATGTACTTTTGAGAACTTTCACTGGGCATGCCACCCTTGTACTTTCTTTAACATTTGTACCTAAACCTGCTTCAAATGGAGACTATTACTTTCTTAGTACTGCTAAAGGAGACCGCTACATAAACGTTTGGTAGGTTCCCTTGCTCGCAATAATTTTTGTTGAGTCTGGTTGGTATCTTTGTTAATTCTGTGGTTTTCTATTTCAGGTCCCTTGGAAAAGATGGAGAAAGTGCTGTTGTGGCCATGGTGTTGGAGAGTGCGCCTGTTGGACCTATTTCATTGCATGAACAGCAAGATAATGGTGTTCTCAGTCTTGCGGCTGTCACTGAAAGTGGTGTTGTACAAATGTTTTCTCATCAGCTCAATGGGTGAGTTTCTATATGACACACTGCACTACTCATGATGCAAAATGCCTTAAATCTTGTTTTTATTTTGGCAGGCGTTGTCCCAAACCTCTCAAACCAACTCTAACAGTGCAGGTTGCCACAGATTCTGCTAGGAGCAAAGAAAGTGTAGAACCACTCTCCATAGTTTCTGCTCTTTGCACATTAAAACAAGAACTGAAAATTGCATACGGTTCTGCAGCATTTCTTTCATTTGAGAATGTGGTATGCTTTTTTTTTCCTCTTCCTTGTCTTATATGTTCATCATCTGCTATTATTATCATTTTTATCATTACTATCATTTTCAATTTTATGTCAGGTTTTAAATTATGATGAAAAAATTCAAGTCCTTGTTAGACAAAGCCCCCGAAAACCACGCCCAGATTCAACTGAGTCTTCTCTGGTAAAAGATATTCAAATTTTTTTTTTTTTGTTTAAATTTATTGAAGCAAAACTTTCATCATTTTAAAAATTGCATTATCTCACTATTTTTTATTTTTTTTTGTGTGAAGGTGCAAGTCCCAGATGCTGAAAATGCTCAGTTTTTGCCTCAATCAGCAGCGAATGCCGCTGTGTTAGGGATTAAGCGCTCTCACACTCGCACAGCAGAGGTCCCAATGGAACAGCGCTTGGAAAATTTGTCTCTGTCCTTAGCTCGCTCTGATGAAAAACCTACAGCAGTACCTCGAGCTGATAATCTAGCCCAACTTATGTTACAGGTGAGTTGGTGAACATAGCCCTAAACCTACGGTATTATTTTTATGACGTATAAAACAAATCGTCAAATTTTTCGTTTTGCCAGGCTTTGCAAAGCAAAGATAAACAAATGTTACACACCGTACTCCGTCAGCAGGAGGAGGATGTTATTAGAAACACTGTCAGAAGACTTCCTTTGCAAGTTATTGAGCCATTACTCAAAGAATTAACAACTTTACTTCATGGGAAGACAGTCACGTAAGTCTATCTTGCGCAAATGCCATTTTGTAAATTTAGTTAAAGAATTTACTTTTATTTATTTCTTTTCTCAGGGCCCAGACTGGAGCTAGGTGGCTCCGAATAGTGTTGAGCATTCATGCTGCTCATCTTATGGCAAATCCTTCTTTGGTAGAACTGCTTGCTCCAGTTATAGGTTTGATTGAGGCTAGGCTTACTTTGCTTCCCTCTTTGAGTCGACTCAGTGGTCGCCTTGAGTTATTAACATCTCAGCTAAATGGTGCTTCTGGATCAGATGAAAATGCTTCACCACTTGATATGCCTACTGGTCTCTTGACATACCAAGATGCAGGTTAGTGTATCAACAAGCTACATGAACCTTGCCTGTTTTTAGATTTTTTAAACTTGTTGGGATATTAAGTTTTAATTTATTTTTTATTTTTTTACAGATACATCTGATGAAGATGATGTCCAGGACGAAGTTGGAGGTTTAGGAAGTGAAAGTGATGACCATTGGGAAGAACTATCAGACAGTAATTTGGAAGACAATGAAAATGAAAATGATGTTGACATGTCAGACTGAGATGGTTATTCTGCTTTGCAATCACTGTTAATGAATTAAATTGATACAGTATGGATGTTAAGTTGGTCAAGTTATGGACTTTGTTGTTCTCTGGATATAGGGACGCAATTGAGATAATATCAATGTCATTTAAATTACTGTGAAACCATGTACCTGTCCCAATCTTTGGAGTTGGAATACAGTATCTAGATGTAATCTGTTTTTGAAACTTTAGTTAAATTTTCTGTAAGTAAGTTCTGAGATTTTGATTTATCAGAGTATAATAAAGTACTTAACTTCCTGTTACATTTCTTTCATTTGATCTCCTCAATGATTTGTTGGATGGGGTTGAAAGTGAAACAAAAATGTACAGTACATTTATATTTAGTCACAAATTTGTACAGTATTGGAAAACAAAGCAACACATAGACAATAAACAGTAAAAACATTCTAATCATTAATTTGATTCATAAAATACTTGAGTGAACCATACATAACTATAATTTAGGGTGTAGGGCTGTGCACACACCTCAAGTTAACATAATTTTTGCGTTGCACACATTAAATTGGCATGATCTTACCAAAACAGTTTTCGCTTCCATTAAGTTCATGTGCGAATTCTTTCACAAAACTAAAATATCGAAGCATGTCTACATAATAAAGAGGTACTGAAGTACTAAAAAAAAAAAAAAATGAGGGGAGGGAAAATAAAAAGGAGAGTTACATCTCGAAACTTGACATGAAGGGACAAATCGACGCTTGTTCATTTTAAATATTCCCAATTTTCTTTTTTATGTACATATTAGTACATACATTATGCAGGTACAGATGGGTTTCTAGACAAGCCACATGCTTCACTTGCTACCATGAGACGTTCCTGAAGCACCTGCTGTGGCTGGGCCTGAACTGGTTGAATAACCATACGAGGAAAATTGATTCCATTGTTGTTGGTAAGGGTCATAGGCAGTACTTGCTGTGCCCACAGTAGAGCTTGAAGTAGCTCCTGTGCCAGTACCAGCAGTGGTAGGAGAGGCTGTGCTTCCTCCCTGCTAAAGAAACAAACCAATTAAATTTGTGACGATTCTATTTATGAGATATCATTTCATGCACATAAGAAATGAAACTTACAGCCTGCTGTCCCCAGACACCATAACCCTGATAATACTGCTGGTTCCAATTATTGTATGAGCTGTTCCCATTTCCATAGCTGTTATAGCCCTGGGTATTGTAGCCAGTAGCCTGCTGGTTGTAGCTTTGCTGCTGCTGATGCGATTGTTGGCCATAACCTGAATAAAACAAAACCATGAATTTCAGAACAGTTACTTGTAACTACTTGGCATTGCATTCTTTGACGCACCCTTCCAGCTGGTGTTGTAGCCTGTACCGTGGCCTTGGCTCTGACTCTGGCCTTGCCACTGTGAATAGTCTTGCTGAGGTTGCTGGTTCCAGCTGCCCCATGAAGAACCCCCAGAACCCTGGTTGTAGCCCCATCCCTAGAACCAAACAAAAAAATTAATAAATGAGCGAAGAGGGAAAAAGGAAATATGGAAGATACATAGCAGTGCTGAAGACCGCTTACATACGACAAATGACAACAGTTGCCACCAACGCACCTTTGAACCTCCTCTGGATCCGTAGCCGCCCCCGCCTCTGTTCTGGTTGTAGCCACCTCCGCGATGACGGTCATAGCCTCCGCCTCCCATGCCTCCTCGACCGCCACTTCGCCACTGTCCTCTTGAATCAGATCGATTTCCTCGGTAGCTATCATTCCTGAAAGAAAAAGAAAGTCACAAGAAAATAAAATTCAAAGACAAGACAATCAACACAAGTTTTCCTCAACTTCAAGATGATTTAGACAAATTGAAAACCCTCTAACGTTTCGATTCGATTCCTCACCTGCCGTCTCTCCAGCCGCCGCCACCCTGCATACCCCGAGGCTGCCAGCCGCTCCTATTTCGGTCATTAGGCCCACCTTCGGACAAACATCAACAAGTATTAAACCACCAACCCGGAGCAGAGCCCAACTACTGCAGCTAAAGCCCATTGAGACTGAGACGTCACGTCACATCTTACCTCGCGGCCGGAAGTTGCCGCGATCTCGGTAGTCTCGGTTGTCCCGGTTGTCCCCCCGGTGGTCCCTGCGGTCCCTGTAGTCTCTGTTGTCCCGGCTAGAGTGCCTCTCGTCATGTCGTCGGTCTCCAGAGCCTGAGCCGCCGGATCTCTCCGTCTTGAACCGCTTGGCTGGCGGTGCCTGCGCCACGATGCCTTTCTCTTTGGCTTCTTCCCTGTACTTCTCCACTAGCGCACGTGCTTCCTCCTCTGGCAGTTCCACGAACACAACTTCAGAGAAGATGTCACCAACCTCCGGTACCTTGAAGTTGGCTGTCAAACCAAGACGCAGGTAAACAAAAGAGCACTCAGACCCTCACAGGGTTATTTGGAAAAATGGTTAGAGGTCGGGGTGCATATTTCTTTGACAGTGTAAAAATGTTTAAATTTTTTTTTTAGAGGAATTAAAAAAAGGGAGAGAACTACTTTAAGAGCATGACTAGCCAAAATAATATCGATCTCATGAATAAATAAAAGAGATACTGAAACAAGTTCAAAAGTTATAAAGGTAAGCAAAATAAATTGCAATATAGACATTGAACAGTTGAAAACAAAAAAAGGAGGAAAGGAAAAAAAACAACAACAATGATCCTTATAAATGTGTAAAGGATTTACAAGACCAAGAACAAAAAACTAGCTAATGTGCACAGAATGCACATTTGAAAACAGGAAAAGACACAGCTCTGCTGGAACCAAATACATAGACCGTTCTAGGAGCAATGTATGACAGTCTAACTTAATTTGCTTCAGCCCAATCAAATAGAGAAAGGAAAAGGAACCCAAAACATAAATGTACACACCACCGGACAAAGCGAACACAGACAGAGACAACAACAAAAAAGACACACCTTTCATCTCGAGCACAGCAGAATCCGGTACATCTTTTCCTTCCTCAGCTTCTCGTTTGGCTACACGTCTTTGGAATTCATCCTCAGCTGGAACTATTACAACAGCTCTTCTCTTGAAGCCATCGAATGACCTCATTTTGCGCCTTACTGCAGATGGGTACACATTGGTCTGTACAGGGAATAATGTAGAGTTTGTGATAAGATATAACGTTGAAATGACTAATGCATCAGCATTAGGATAATCTCCTTCGAAGTCCTCCTTTTCATCAGTTCCAGCTGTCTTCAAATGTTCAGCTTACTAAAAATTATCTTACCTTGAGCCGCATTCTGAGATTTTACAAATACACTTGATTCGTGATAATGATCAAAGACTGATGAACAATTATTTTTACATAAACTTCTCTATTGCTTTCATTATTCATTAACACAAGAAGTTGTCAAAAGTAAAATTGTGTTGTTAGCAGTCTTTCTCACATATTCAACTCACAAATCTGAAGGACTTGTGAGAAATGCATTCAACTCACCTGGTGTGATGAAGAGAAGAGGAGCCTTAAAGAGATCCTAACCATTTTCAGGTAGTGAACCCTTCAGAGTAACATACCTTGCATGAAGAAGGGAACCATAGACCCAAGCATGTAACTCAAAATCAAGACTAACAGCAAGATTTAAAAAGGTCTTATCAGTTAAGAATTCTTATGAGGTTAAGAGTTGAGACTTGAAACTTTGAAACATACTTAATTGATTTTGAGCTACGCTGTGAAACAAAATGTAACTGTCCTACCATTGCATCTGTCCACAGATTACCAGGTCTTAACTAAGATAAAAATTAACTGAATCAAACACAAAATATGGCATTAAAATCGGATGATAAACTGGCAATGAGAGTGGTCAGTGTCTCAATGGGCAAACAGATACAGATTTAGATTAATTTATCCTAAATGAAAGAAAGGAGGCTGACTGACCTGATCCAGAATGTAATTCCTCCTCCTTCGGCCAGCAATTTCAAACAATTTATTCAAGCATTTGGTGCACTTGTCAATAAGTGCATCCCAGCGTCCCGAATAATTTCTCTTGCGTGGAAGCCCCATAACCTGTCAAACCAAATTTGAAGTTGATAAAGCAGAAAGGAATTTTAGTCAGAATAAAATTTAGTGGAAGACAAACCTTCATTTTGTCAATGAGATTATTTGTGCCTAGGATGTTCAACAACTTTTCTGGATTTTCCGCATAGTGATTGTTGGCCCAATAAGTTTTACCACTGCCAGGTAAACCGCACATCATAATCATCTGTAAGAGAGTGGCTGTATCATTGAATTTCTTAACAATAGAGAATAAAAGCAGAAGTTAAAATGCCTTAAAGCCTGTTTCCTTACTTCACAGTCTTCCTTCTTTTCAGGGCGTTTTGGTCCTGCAACTCTGTCTTCAAGAGCAACATTACCACAGAGAGTGAAGCCATCAAGGATAGGATGAGTCGGATCAGAAGAGAAGTTTACAGCAAACTTTACATTTTTAGTCAAAATGTGAGGGAACAAAGCATTTTCTCCAAGGACTTCAGCACTTATTTCATAAGCTACTCCCTGTGGCTCTCCATTAACTGCATAAGAGATGATCTTTGGTTCACTGTCCATATCCTAAACAATAGAACAAAAGAGAGTCAAAAAGTTGTAAAAATAAAACAAAACAAATAATGTATGCTACTTACAAGATAGGCAGTGACAGTATCCCCCACAGAAAACGATGTACCATAGTCCTTAAATTGACAGTTCACACTGCTCTTGCCAGTGCCTCCATACCCGTAAGAAATTTTCTCTTCCCCTGCAAAGGTAAGACCACAATATGAGAACATGTAACTTGTATGTGCACTGACATTACGCGTCAATGAGCAAAGCATACCTAGCTGCATTGATGTTCCCTGGACAGACCAACCGACACGTAAGACATGGGGGTTGGGCTCATCTTCCAGGTGTGTCACATCACAATTTTCTAGGCACTTCACTTCATAACAAACTTTTCCTTTTGAGAAACCATAGGATGCCCGCGCACCAGCCCAAATGTAACCAAAGCCTTGCTGATGCATCGGGGTGGCTGACAAGAAGTTGTCCTTTTCTATGACCAAGTTCAAGTCAGAGTCATACCAACTTAGAAGAACAGCAGATTCGTCGATTTCTGGCTCATCATCCTGCCGTTTAATTTGAGGTGATCTTGATCTTCTAGGGCTGCGGCTTGAAGAGCGACGCCTCTTTCGGTCATTTGAGGACTCAGACTTAACTTGAGAAGATTCTTCTGTTGCATCAGTGTCCATAGGCTCTTCCTTGACTTCAGCACCACTCTGAACAGGATCATCATTGTCAGTAAAACGAGACTTGCGAGATCTTCTTGAGCCATCAGGGTGCTCTTCTTTAACTTCAGACTCATCTTGAGAGGCACCAGGCTCTAATTTCACTTGCTCATTATCTGGGGGCTCTACTTTGATGTCCATAGATTCGGGCTCGGGTTGGGACAGCTCTGTGTCACCTCTCAACAGAATCTCTTCATCCTGTTCTGTAGGTTGTGATGGGTCCGCCCTAAAGTCATAGCTGGAGGACTCTGAATCTCCAACAAGATCGGAAGAGAACGGTTTGGACTCCTCATCAAAGGGATTCGATTTATCTTCCTCAGATACAACAGCAGGCTGTGGTTCATCTTCTTCCTGGTTGGCTGCCTGTTCAGGTAGACTGTCCTGCGGTTCGGATGAACTCTTACTTTCAGATGACTCCTCATCATTCACAATTTGGGAATCATCATCCCTAGAAGCAGTGTCATCAACAGCAGCAACACTCTCTGATGCTTCGTGTATCCTAAAGGGTGGAATATTGACAGCATCATCTTGGACAAAAGCATGAGGAGTACGATCCTCTTCTGCTGGAGGAGCTTGTTCCACCGCAGCGGCTGGTTGTTCTTCTATGGGCCTTGTTTCTTCCTGAACAGGAACTGGTTCCATAGCAACTTGTGAGGTTGCAGGAGTCTCTGCTTCATCAGCAGAAGAGGCATCTCTTGCTGATGTCCGTCTTCCCCTACGAGTCGGTGTTGGTGGCACGTCTTCAGTTTCATCATTACTCTCGAACGAAGCCTTCTGATCTTCAGGTGCTGGTTCTGCCGTACCCATTGTTACACCTGATGGATAGTACCAGAAAAGAACATGGTTAGACAAAGATTTAGACGATTTGAAGAGGCAAACGCAATCGCAGATAATTCTGTTAACGAAAAAATCAGCACTAGCACCAGTTGGTTACAAACATAACCTAGCAGCAAAGAAACAACTACATCGACAATGCCAAACCAGACAAAATGTCAAAGACGCAACAAAATTGCGACAAGGCTTGATATTGCTCACGGATTAGAAAGTGAGATTGAGTAGTAAAAACAGCTTTGCATTTGCACAACAAAACATTGGCCAGCGAAGACTAGGCCGCTTCGCCGTACGCGCCAAACGCAGCTAAAACGCGTGATATTTCACAGAGAGACGGAAGGTATATCCCGCCGAGTTCGACAGAGAGAGAGAGAGAGCAACCACGTACGAGAGCAGCCGAACTCAACGAGATGAAAATGCAACGAAAATAGAGATATTCTCACCTCCTCCTCCCTCTTCCTCAAGGGCCGCTTTCAGTCGGTCGACGAGAACAGCTTTCACACCTTTCGTGTCCAAACCCCGGCTTGCCAACTCCGCCTTCAACTCAACAACCTTAAGTTTGTTCAAATCTCCCAACATTTTGAGGTAGTTAACAACCAAATCGATAATATAAAGTCAATTTTCATGAGATCAGCAGTGGCGGCTGGCTACCAAACTCGCTACTCGGCGTTTTCACCGTGCCGTTTGCCGATGCCAGAATACAAACGGCAATGCTCGCACCTCATTGGTCCGCATCCATTTTATGTCAGGAACGCTCGCCATTTCAACCAATCCCGGCGGCCGTTGCTCGTCTGACGGAACTTCTTTGAGAAGCAGCGGTTGGTTGCAACTTTTTCATTTTTTTCCTCTTCTTTTAGTTGGAGTTTAGAGGTTTAGAGAGTTGAGTAAAGTGTACAGTCAAGAAGTCCCAGATCCCGCTGTGTGTTCGAATCTCGGTGTGTGTTCGAATCTCGGTGTGTGTTCGAATCTCGGGTGAGGGAGGAAGGTGTGTGGTGTGGTTGTGTGAGGGTGGGAAAGGGGGAAAGCCCAAAGTTCGTCATGCACCAGTACTTTAATAATAATCAGTTGAATGTACATATAGTGTGTACATGCTAAAGATATCACATGAAAAATGAGGTGCAATTTTTCTGATAAAAATACAGGTAGCAACACTGGAACCACAATTGCGAGAGAACACAGTACATACACTTCTGCAAAGGTCAAACCTTAAAAGACATCCAAGGAGTTTAAAAAAGGAAAAGAAAAATGGCGAATGTAACAATTGACAAGGTCCAAAGTTTATTAATAAAGTCATTATGTGATCAGAAAAAGCAGAAGAGAACCAAAGACTGTTCATTCACATTGTTTCACACTATAACAGGAATAAAAGCATATTATAACTTAACAAATAATTCATAATAATAAAAAAAATAAAATTGTATACAACAATATTATTAGCACTGAAGAAACTTCCACACTACACCAATCACAGACAAAAATCTCTTGAAATTTATATTTTAAATGATTTTTTCTATAAAAGGCCAGGCTTTTAACATAGACAACCAACTATGTACTAAGCCGCCAGCCTCATGTCCAGACAGCCAGCAATGTCTTACACGATTCCCATTCCAATCAGCCAGGGAGCGGCGCAAGACTGACAAGGAGCAGGCGGTCTTTGTACATAGTTGGTTGTCTTTGCTTTTAAGAATTGCAAGACAGCTCCTTAAGGAATTCTTAGCATGTAACACAGATACTATTCTCTCAGTTGAGAATGGCATGATAAATAGTACAATTCCTAAAATTACAGACTTGAACTTAATTCAGATATTTAGAGATAAACTAAATATGAAGACGTTCTTACTCTTCCACAAGACTCAAGTAGATATTCAACAAATTAGCTAAACAATACACAGTCACTTTACCTCACAGCAGCATAGAATAGAATATAGGCATTAGCTGATCGAACATCTTCTCTTGAAATTTCACTAACATCTTGGTCGTCATACTTGTACCATCTAGAATGAACCATAAGTGTCATTAAAAGCTTATAGGGTTGTATTGCATTCTAAGAAAATCACTTTTTTAGGTATTTCCTTACTTATTTCCATTTTTGCAATATGCTGTATAGTGTCCTCCTTCTAGAGTACCGTAATGGTTTGAGACTCCACAGAGATCATAAACTGTGTGAGACTGATGCCTGTTGGGGGTATATATCTTCATGTCTAAATTCTCCAAGGGAAAATCAACAAACGTCTGACGTTTTTGATAGAACCCATCAGAATAAAACCTGTGAAACATAAAAATAATAGTGGAAGCTGGGTTGTAAATGAAGTCAACCGATGAAAAAACATACGATTAATTACCTTTTCAAATGAATGATAAGAGTTGGCGGCAGCCTGCATAAATCAACTGACTTCTCCGCATCATGGAGACCGTGACATGATTCACATTTATATCCTGCAATTCTTTCTTTACTCGTATATAACCGAAGGCAGTCCTATAAACCCAAATATATTATGAAATCCGTCAAAGCAACAGGACATGCAGAGTACCATTGGACCGTTAGTTGAATGAAACATACCGAAAGGGTGCATCTTGCAGCACTTGGCAATAATAGTGTAAGGTTAGATGTGGGCTCTTCGTAATTCATTGACTTGGCAGAACATGAGCAACACTGGACAGTTGAAACTTGTTGAATAAAGAAACCAGTGAGCATAAAAGACTCATGCTTGCTTCGAAAGATGTTCCATGCATTTATTGCCCCAGTAATGGCATCAACATCAGCATTTTTCTTACTCACGGAAAGCTAAAATGCGAAAACAAGATGCAAAGCCCATGTTAATTATTTTCTAAAAATTATTTAATACTCAATAGTCAGGTGGAAGACAGGATACCTCCTTCCCAAGTTCCTCTTTCTGTATTTTGAGATCATTGTGCAGCCAGTCCATTAGGAATGTTAGGAATTCATGAGCATCTTGTTGTCCTGACCCTCGGAATTGGTCCATGTACTTTCCAACAACAGCCTATAAGGCAAAGACAAAGACAAAATCATAAGCACACACTGTGAGAGCATCAAACAACTCAACAACAGACTTGACAGTTAGAGTCTGAGTTACCTTAAGATCTCGACAAGCAATTGATCGATATTGACCTAACCAGAGGTGGCGAATAACTTGGCCCACTTCTTCGGCAACTTCACCACGGGTTGGATTATGTGGGCTCCTGTTAATATCATCTTTATACTTTAAACTAGAAAAATAGTTGTTGAGGACATTTATATTGCTGATGCATTGCAAAATGGAATTCATATAACATGAATTACCAAGGTTCTTCAGACCTGTTAAACCTGGTTTCTGCAAATTGTAAAAGTCGTTAAGTATTAAAAATATTAAGGAAAAACAAAAGACAGGTCAATATCATAGGGCCAGACTTACAACAGTTCCATAAACTTCATGGAAATTTCTATTGCGGTTCATAAATTCTTGATTTGGAGGTCTTTGAATTAATGGTTTGGTGTTGCGATCAAACTGAGGTAGAGGTTTTGGCTCGGGTTCATGAATTAACTGAAGAAGTGGGAAATAAAACAGAATACTGTGAGTGTTATAAAACTCACTTAAAGTAGAAGGTCACAATCAAGATTACCTGAGCTATATTTGGAGATGATCGTGACCTCTTCAGACCTGAGTTGGCTGAAGGCATTGACAGGTCAGTGTTTGTTGCACCGGTAGGAGTGCCTAAAAGCACAAAAAATACAAATCTTTCAGTGGATGTTCCTTAAACATCAGTATTTTGTTGACAAATTTTTAACATGCGCAAACCTCTCACCTGGGGCTAACCTGTGTTTGACTACATTTGGCTTTTCACTTTCATTGCTAATAAAATAGAAAGAAAAATTAATTGAAACATAAACAAGATGATTATTCAAATAATGTAACTTTGGCTGCCGAATTAATTGTCTCATGGACCAACTCACAAGCTTTTGATTTCTCCAGGACGAGCAGGCACAATGGGTGGTTTTGACACCTCATGTACTTGAGTTGTGCTATTTTCACGTCTCTTGTACTCTTCAAGTTCTTTTCTTAGAGCCTCATTCTCTTCATCCTACCAATTAAAGATGAGATGTAAAATCAAAAAGTTGACTTTAACAATAACACTAGTTACAAAAGACAAGACATAAAATATGATCAACTCATACCTTTCTTATCTGTGAACTTATTAGTTCTTGAATGTGTTCTTTCAAATTCTTCTCATTTTCATACAGTGTTTGTCGTTCCTTGTCAGACAATTCGTTCCTACCTTGCTGCTGTCTGAGTTTCATTAATTCACTTTCAGCAGCCTCCCTGTCTCGAACCAAATTTTGAGCAAGCTGAACGCCTATCAATCTCTTATCTTCCAGTTCTTTATACTTTTGCACAGCAGCTGTCTGTAGAATTAAATCAGACTTCAAAAATATGTACAGTTAAGTAAAACCATAAATATTAGTGTATTTATAAGCTCCAAACCTTGCTACTGCGGTCAATATTGGGTACATGAGAATTAATAGAGGATGTACTTGGCTCTTTAGAGATAAGAGAAGTTGTCTTTTGAGTGGAAGGAACCTTTTTCTCATCCCCAGGAGACACATAACGGTTTGCAGATAATTCTTCATTTTTATTAATATCATACACCTTCTCTTTGCTTGTATCATCTGTTATTATGATATTTTGCTTTAGAACAGGTTTAGTTTCTCTGGAAAACTTTGGTGTATCGTCAATGTCTGGATAGTTGACATCATCTACAAAAGAGGATGAGTATTGAAACAAAATAAATAAATCACAATTCTGCTGTACCATGATATGATATTTCAATGAATACAAACCGATGTCCAGAAGGTCATCCAAAGGCTGGATGGGAAGTTGTGGATTGGCATTTGTACAGTACATTGGATAACAGCTGTGCCACTCCTCAAATCCACCTTCAAGAATAAGTGGCTTGCTGCAGTATGTAACAGATGGATCCCACTGAAATACAGAGAAAAACATGAAAAATGAGTGCTGTTTTTCAATAAACATTTTATGTTGTTTCTCATGGTGTGTAAAGACTGAAGAACCTTAAGAATTATCGTTTGCAGGCGGTGAATGGGCGAGTCATCTTTGAGTTTAGAGCTACTTGAGTACCAGTCCATTAAGACTAGATATTTAACTTGTGTTCGGTTGCTCCACTTCAATTTTGATGGTGGAGGAAGTTTTTCAGCAAGCTTTGCTGCACTGGACCTAACGAACAATAGTGTATTATAGACAGGGAACACACATAAGACAAAAGAATGAAATACAAATGGCCTAGTGCCCTACCCTGCTTGAATTATCTCCTCTGGAATACTGATGCAGCACTCAAAATTTATATGAGAATCAGAAAATTGATTGCGGGGTCTCACATCCATGATGAGGGCATCAGAAGGGTTTTCTTGTAAAATTTTAAATAATTCCCTGGTTGACATGCTGTTATTTTCTGAAACATAGAGCAATTTCAATTAAGAAATTAATCAATCAATGAAGGAACCCTGACGATGGTATTAGAAAAGATCTTACCACCATTTATTTCAGGAGCAGTTGGGGCAGGAACATTTTCAATGATAGAAGGTTCCTCTTTAGAAGTTTCTACCTTCACTTTGCTTCTCTCTAGTGCTGCATTTTCATTATTTTTTAGTTGCTGATATCTGATAATTTCCAGAAACATTTTAATTTAACAGTGGAACACTTAGAGAATCAACATGTACATTTTGTCTTGAAAAGGGCATAAGTTGTACAACTGAAATGCTCTCATACCTTTCCTCCAAACTCTTGTTTAATCTCTCAGCAGATGTAATGGCATAATTCAGAGCACTTTTTGAAAGCTCAACATGTGGTTTCTTCAATTTATAATCATTAGATTTTTGCACATAACTTGTTATGTTGAGATATCTCATAAATAAAATATAACTTTCTTCTTGGTTTCCTTTCTTATCAGCAATTTTAGCAGCTTCAAATAATTTGGGTGCAGATTTACATAATCTGATTAAAGGACCAAGATAAGACATGAGTATATCAGATAACTAATAGTGTGAGCATTTATAATTTCATTGCAAATGAAGTGATACTCACGATACTATGTTTTTGTTGGGGAACTCTTTGTCATAATGTTCTTTAAGGTCCTGCAAACATTTCCCCTTGACAAGGGGCTTCAGTGACGGTGCAGACATAATAGACCTGCAAGGACATTGAAGTAAATAACAAAAATTTGCTGTCTTGTTCTTAAATATAAATACAGTCCACACCACCCTTCACGTAACAATGCGCGGAGACCAATAAATCCCTATAGTTGGAACGAAACATCAACACGAAAATTTAAAAAAATCATGAATACAGAAGTTATGATTGAACACCGATTTCAGATAACAAGCAGAAATAGACATAAGTGACCCATAGAATCAATAAGTTTACGTTACACAGAGGTCGTTCCAATTTCTCCAGATATAAGTCCAAGATGACTGGCAAAGACACAATGTCATATGACCAAACGCATAAGGCGCTAACGCCCTTCTCATATCATTCCATTCATGAATGATGGATGAATGTCACACGAGAGGCTGACACGAACCAACGCTCAGGGCAAGCATTTAACAGCAAACGCACCTCAAATGTGTTTACGTTTCCTCGATGACAGCGCTCGCATCGCACGACGCAAGGGGCTCGTCGTGCCCCCACCGTGACGGTCAGTCTGCAAGACGTTCCTCGGAGGCCAGTCTCCAGCGCGGAGTGAACCGCCGACAGCCTCGGAATCAATCAGCGCCGAAGATAATCGAACACACGATAATAATAACAATATCTTGCTCTTGCTTTTCGGCAGTCTGCCATGTTGGATTGCGCCTTGCTCGCTCCCGCTCCCGCTTTCCAACTCCAACGTTAGGGGAGGGGAGGGGGAAGAGGGGGGGGGCGGAGGTCTTTCTAGAGAGACTCTAGAGAGACCCTCCCTCGGCTAGTCGAGAGCGCACTTTCTCTCTCTAAATCGGGGGATGCCCAATCTGGCAGCTCCCGGCCTTTTCACTCTTTCTTCAGAGAGAGAAGGAAGAGAGCCGAAAATAATTTGTCTCAGATTGAGGAGGAAATGTTTAGAGAGGCTTAAGGCTCTCTAGTCGCCTCCGACCCACGTCCACGACGCTAGCGCCGTGGCGCCTGGGTGGCGCCTCTACGCGACAGTGCCAGAACCCTGGTCATCCACGTGATGATCCATCGGCCAAAAAGACAACAAGCCAAAAAAAAATTACGGCGCCTTGTGCTATTTTCGCGTTGGGCCCTTCTTCCTTCCGATTTAAGCCCAAAGTTAGCCCAAAACAGCCCTTTTGGAGCCCCACTGGAAATCGCAAGGATGACTATTTTGACGAGTTAATGGTCGATATTTGATCACAACTACTGTTTGTTCAACTCATTCTTTCGGTGAAGTGGTGTGTGGCCTGCGACTGCGACGCGCCGTCCGCGGTCCGCGAGTTGGATCGTCTCGGAGTATGAACATCTGCAAGGTGGAGGGCAGCGCGAACTTGGGAAGCAGAATGGTGGGGCTGTCTGGCGGGGGCCACCTTTTCAGCCCCGTGCCCGTGCCGGCCTCGGAAGGTAACTCACGTTAATCCAGTTTCACTCTTAATTTATGTTTTGCAATGCATTTTCTATGGCCGCATCCTTCAGCGAAGTGGGAAAGTGAGACAAAAGTTGCTGCCTCCGGCCTTTTGTAGGTTAGGGTGTAAGATGTTTACATCCCCTTTACATCGGCTGTTGATGTGTTGTTCCGGCTGTGTCGGCTTTTTATTCCAGCTGTTACTTCATCGAGTCTGGTTCAACACGTCTCGTACTTCTCGCTCTTATATTGCTGGTGTTGCACTTTTCGCGACCAGCGTCCGAAAATAGAGGCTCCTTTGGGATTTGCATGGGGCCCCTAAGGTGGACAGTCAAAACAAGCAAATCCGTCTGCCTATTTTCCCACCTTTTTACAATTTAATATTTCTAAGTCAGGTTTTTTTTTTTTACACTAAGGATTAAGATTGTTTAATTGTCTATTTATTTTTGAATTTCTGATGCTTTATCAAATATTAATGTAACAAACCTAGACGGCATCTTAGATAGAAACCCTTCAGGTTCTGGTCCTCCATACCGTTCAAATTTTAAGGCTTGGTCTTTGCATTCCTGTTTTAGGATCGGAAATGCCCGTCTGTCCATCAGATTCTGTCTATCCTGTCCGAGACATGGCAGCGATGAACACAGGCGCCCCTACGTCAGCGGACGCCTGTCTGAGCATTGTTCACAGTCTCATGTGCCATCGTCAAGGAGGAGAGTCTGAAGGCTTTGCTAAACGAGCCATTGAATCTCTGGTTAAAAAACTCAAAGTATGGTATTTTTTTCCCATGCACTTATTTTATTGACGTGTCCAATTATTTTATAATGCCTGCAATTTTTCTTTTACCCTCTCAATGTTTTTTAGGAAAAACGCGATGAACTTGACAGCCTTATTACGGCCATCACAACAAATGGATCGCATCCAAGTAAATGCGTTACAATACAAAGGACCCTTGATGGTCGCTTGCAGGTAGGTGCCTATTAAAAGTTCTGAACTCATTTTACCTAGATGAAGACATCCGATTTTAAGTTGTTATTGTCCTGTCTTAAGGTGGCTGGAAGAAAAGGGTTTCCACACGTCATTTATGCAAGAATTTGGCGGTGGCCTGATCTTCATAAGAATGAACTGAAGCATGTCAAGTATTGCCAGTTCGCCTTTGATCTGAAATGCGATTCAGTTTGTGTGAATCCATACCACTATGAACGGGTTGTTTCTCCTGGCATAGGTGAGTACTTCTCATCTAGTCTTAAAAACTTCTCTCTTCAACCTTATTTTATGAGGTATGACCCTTTTTTGAGCAAACCCATGGGCAGTGCTATACCTTAGCACTTGCCTCTCATTGAGATATAGACATGTTTTCAGACTTGTCGGGGTTGACTCTCCAATCTGGACCTAGTCGTTCAGTGAAGGATGAGTACTCTGCTGGTGTGATCGGCCTTGGCGGAATGGACATGGAAGGTGAAATGGGCATGTCTCAGACCATACAGCATCATCCTGGGCAGTATGGAATGCCTAGCATGCCTCCTCCACAGTCTGGTCAGTATCTATTCATGATTTGATTAAAACTTAACACAGCACATTAGAGTTGTAAAATAAATAAAAGCTCTTTTGTCTTTTGCTGTATGCGTGCTTTTAACTAAATGGATGCGGGTTTTTATAGAACTTTGTAAATTAAAACTTTCCTTGACTTTCCACTAACTTCTAGGGGCATGCTGTTCCTAAGCTGTAGTTTTTGTAAAATTTGTAGAGATGGGAACAGACTCACGGTTTTGAAGGTTGTAGCAAGAGGTACAGGTTGCATTAGGTAGCCACATAGTGGTTTTGAAGAGAGAGAAAATAGACTTACTAAGGTGCTTTTGATTCATTTTGCGTTCAGTGCTCTTGTCTTGGCAATATTCTCATAGGTACTCATGCCAAGTATCAGCAATGTGAATTTGAAAGAAAGTGAACTATCTGTTGCTTGAATAGATACAGAAGAATCAAACCAAAAACACTGTTAAAAAAAAATAGTAATTTTAAAATGTTGACATGAAAATCTCAAAATATCTTGTCTTACCATTCCTTCACTTATTCCCTGTAAGTGGTTGGAATATTTTTCTTGGTTTGTATACTTCAGCATCTCTAGACATTTTGCAGTACGTTTTCAGTAGGCCTTTCCTTTGCTATTTTACTGCTAGGAAGTGCGAACTGGAATGGAGTGTCGTGTGTGCTTTTAGAGTGCTTGCCAGCATGTCCTCTGGTCCTGCAGGTGAGGGTGGTCAAGCTGGCCTTCTCTTCAGCCAGGGTCGCTTGCCTTCAAAGATGGAGGCTCCAGACTATTGCCCCCGATCTTCCTGGCTACCTTCAAGAATGGCCCATCGTAAGTTCCCTTACCTTAATGTTAATCTACTCAAGGCGGACAGCACCATCAATAAGCCCACTGAGCTGTTTCACTATTATCAGTGGTACAGGAACATTTTTGTCAAATCGTTTGGTGCTCTTATACCCGTCTTTTTCTCTTCTTTGTTGTTTGTAAATCTGCACTGCAACATGATTTTCCCTGCCTTTTTTTTCTCCCTCCCACCTTTCCCCTTTTTTTTTTCTAAAAATAGAAAATTTGTAATTGATCTCATGCAGACTCCTATGTTCTATTGGTTCTGAGTCTGACAACTTAACAAGCGCTTGGCAAAATTTCTTCCAACTTCTATTATACTTCCTCCCAGTAAACCACAGATCTAACTTGAGCAATAAGTTCCTAATCATATTCAAGGCTGCTTAAATATATTCGCACAATGTGTTTGCTTTTTACTATGTACAAAAGCAAAAGGTGCTGGTAAACTAGTAACACTTGTTAGAGTGGTGTGGAAGCTTCTTATTTTAGCTTCTTTCTCTCTGTTATGAGAGGGAAGAGGTGAGTTTCTTGTTTAAGGCATGTTCTTGTTGTTAATTGAAATTCCATTATTTTGCCTGAGAGTTGGTATTTCTCTTACTAGTAGCTAGAATTTATTTGCTTCATGTGAAAATACCACTGCTTTTTCACCAATTATTATTTTAAAATAAAAATTAAACTGATCCTCTTCACTTTATTACTGAATAGTACATGAGTGGTCAGTGTTTCTTAAATTGTTTTTTTTCCCCCTCATTGTATGGATTTTTAAAAATTTATTTTGTAAATTTTGTATTATTGTGCATCAGAGGACTAATTTCTTTTTTAAGCTCTAACAGTTGATTTGCCCATTTTCAGCTGGCTACCAGACTCATCCGGATCACAGTGTGGTCTCGCCGTCCGCGAGCGCTCTGGCTTCAAGCTCGGGACTGCGTCCGGCTCCCCCCGGCCCATCCCCCTCCTCACTGGCGGGCAGCTCGGCCGTGCCTTCCGGCTCCATGCTCTCTCCACCCCAGCCAGGCCTGCACAGCCAAGCCATGCAGACTGGCTCCTCACAATACTTTGCTCCTCCTGACCAGTCTCACCAATCAGCAGCGTTGTCACCAGATCCTATTCAAGCTGGTTTAGCATCGAATATTGGTTTGTTTCAGTTTTTAGTGCGTTTTACTTTCATTTTCTGTTCCACACAGTATTGTGTTCAGTTTATCAATTATACTATTTTGTCTTTGGAATTCAGGTAATAGTCAGACCTCTATCGCCCCATCCGCTATGTCCCCTCCTCGCATGCATCAAAATGGCTACAATCCTGTGGCTACCCAGAGTCAACAAGCACAGTCACCAAGCTCGTCAAGTCACGCTCAACAACAACAATCTCCACCACCGCAAGTGCCTCAAAATGCTTGTCCTGCCCCTGTGCCTGTTGTTTCTCAGTCTCCTAGTCAAACAACTCAACCTGGACAAACGCAAGTGGTAAGAAATTTTTGATCTCATGAAGTTGTTTTTACATGTGGATTAAAAAGTGGATACTCATTAAACACACTTTGTCAGGCCTGCCAACCCTTGCAAAGTCAGTCACAGTCAGTGCAGCCAGGGGTTCAGACTGCAGCTGCCCAATCACAGACTGCGGTTGGTCAGCAGGCAGCAACTGTTACAACACAAGCCTATGGTGGAGCGCAGGCATCATGGAGGGGCAACAGCACCCTCACATACACACAAAGCATGCAGCCTCCAGACCCCCGTCACCATCACAGCAGTTTTTGTAAGCATTTTCAGAGCTATGCTCTAGGTATATTCTTGTAAGTAAACCATTTGATTAGCTGTCCTCAACCTAATTTTGAACATGTGGCTGTTTTAGGGAACCATGGCACCCAATCTGTATCAGATTCTATGGGCCTCCTGTCACCCCAGCCTCCTCCTGAATATTGGTGCTCTGTTGCATACTTTGAGCTAGATACACAAGTTGGTGAAACCTTTAAAGTACCTTCAACTTGTCCGAATGTTACTGTTGATGGTTATGTTGATCCCTCTGGTGGGAATCGATTCTGTTTGGGTGCTTTAAGCAATGTGCATCGAACAGAACAGAGTGAAAAAGCAAGGTAAGTTCTTAGAAGAAACTCATAAAACTTTTTATCTTCAGTCCAACCGATGTTCATTATAATCTGTCCAATGTTTTATTTCTCAGACTACACATAGGAAAAGGTGTGCAGTTGGACCTCCGCGGTGAAGGGGACGTTTGGCTCCGTTGTTTGAGTGATCATTCAGTGTTTGTTCAAAGCTATTACTTGGATAGGGAGGCAGGGCGAGCCCCTGGTGATGCAGTTCATAAAATTTACCCTGCTGCATACATTAAGGTGAGTGTCGGTAAACTTACCCATGAATTTCTATGCATGTAAAATTTTCTGTTCCTCTGCTCAAAAGGCCTTATTACTGTTTGTCTCTGTTTTCAGGTGTTTGATTTGCGTCAGTGTCATCGGCAGATGCAGCAGCAGGCTGCCACAGCACATGCTGCTGCGGCTGCTCAAGCTGCTGCAGTTGCGGGTCACATTCCAGGTCCACACTCTGTTGGTGGCATAGCACCAGCCATTAGCAAATGTGAGTTGACTCACAGTGGTCCTGTCTCAGCTTTACAAGAAAAAAAAAATGGGAGTACAACTGTTGTGTTTCATGTTTTTGTAGGTTTGAGCGCTGCTGCTGGCATTGGGGTAGATGATTTGCGAAGACTGTGTATCCTTCGTTTGAGTTTTGTCAAAGGATGGGGGCCAGATTATCCTCGAGGGTCAATCAAAGAAACACCATGTTGGATAGAGGTAAGTTGGTGTCTCACTGAATCCTTCTGGAAGTACTGTATCAAGAAGCTGTTGTCAGTTAATTGTTTTGTGTGTCTACAGGTTCATTTGCACCGGGCTCTTCAGCTTCTGGATGAGGTTCTGCATACAATGCCCATTGATGGGCCGCGCGCGGGTGAATAATAATAATATTATTATTATTAACCATTTACAAGACTACATAGGACTTTCTGACCATGAATACGCCAGCTTTAATTTGGTTCAAGAGAAACCAACCATTTTACTGTATTTCTTCCTATTCTTTACCGCACCCTATCTGAGTTGTATGGGTGGAAGACATTTGATCTGCCATTAAGGCAGCATTTCATGATTTTGATTTGTTTTGCTTGAAATATTTTACCTTTCATACCAACATTAATGCCTAATAATTCAATTTTCATAAAGTGGGTTATAAATGCTTTTATTGTGATGGCTTGTCACTCAAAGCCAGTTGGCATGTGTCTTGCTCAATATGGTCTTGAATAATCTTATTTAAAGATACAAAAACTCTTTTAATTGCATGGTTTTCTCTTGCATTCTGGTTGTTCCCTTTGCGATGATCTCTATAGGACTTGTTCTCAAATTGACACCTTTTTGCTCTTCCAAATTTGAAAGCCAGCCATATGCTGTAACTTCTAGGAAATGACTAGTTCCAGTGGTTTGTCAAGTTATTTTGGCTAGTATTAAGTACTCATTTGTATGTTCTGTGTCTAAAGTAAGAATTTGTAGTGGGTATTTGCAAGTGTAAAGTGCATTTATATGTAACTATCCACAATTTTATAAAATTTCATTGAGGGAATCATATTGAACCTAATCTATACTTGTTTGAATTTGTGTATCAATCATATATTTACACTTCTTTATATATTTTACTTGCGAATGTGCTAGTAGATGTTTTATTAATCATTATGGTATCTATTCTGTCCAATTTAAACTCTTTATTTTTCAAAGACTGTACTGATGTCTTGAATAACTAAATTTATGTGTATCTAGTAGTACTGAGGACCTATATGCCCCTGACAGGAAAGCAAATCCCTTGTAACTCTTTGATATGCATTCACTAAGCAGGGTCTGCATGGGCATATAGTTCTATAAATGCATAAAGGGATACTTCAATTTGTGTATTATATTTGATATTTAGCGGAAAAAAATTCTTAATAGAATTGGTTGTACACAGTGACCCCTGACCTCTTGCTTGGACTGTTTTGTTTTGTTGCCAACATTTGGTTGGCTGTGCCAGATTGAGTCGTTCTTGTTATTGATTAATTCTTAACATCTTTGATTTGGTTGCTGGTTTAAGTTCATATCATTTGTGAGCTAATCCAGCTGGAGTAACTAAGTTTATGTGTAACTTCTTGTTTTGGTTGCTACAATTGTTCTTAATTTTAGCTTGGTGCCTATGCATAGCCTCAATTATTTCATCAGTAACATCGTATTGGTTACGTATCTGAATGTATCTGAACTCAAGTTGCTGCTCCTGTTTTCTGTGAATTCTGATTGCAAGTCCATGGTTCGGGCCGCGCCCCGCTGCTCCGTGTCGCAACAATGAGATGTCATGATGTCCTTGACCAAAACACAGTCCCAAATAGCAAAAGTATCCGTTGGTGTATTGTAAGACTGACTTGGCCAGTGTGGCGAGTGGAGGAAACAATGTTAAAAGTCATATGTTCGTTAAGACCAATATCCCCCACCCCAAGTGTCATGGCAAGTTTTGATATGTGTTTTATTAATTGGTAAAATTTGTATTAAGAATCCTCATGACATGAACTTTTCCTCTAAAATTTAAAATTTGTGCCAATGTATTGAAATGTTGATCTCTTTGGAGAGGTCATTCTGCAAGGTTATTAATTGCACACATCCAACGTCATCATGTTAGTAAGGCAGACAACCGATTTGGACTGAGTTGAACAGGGTTACGAACAGTTGTCGGGACAGTTAAAACTTGTATGTTCTAGCTTTTTTCAAACATTTTTACTTTAAATTTGAAGACCAAAGAACTGAAGTTTTCCGTAATATTTTCATGCTGTGCCCATGTTTCAAAAGTGTAACAGTGTAATCTGGATGCTTCTCTGCATGTTTGCCAAATGTAATGCCTAGCATGCATGACTGATAAATTTATTAAAGTGTGTCCTTCTACTGTCCCTGCAGCAGCTCTTTTGTCTGAATGCTACTTTTTTTAAATGTGTGATAAGATGCGGAAGCATGAGCTTCAGTATTGTCTGTCTTAAGTATATGCGAACTTGTTGGTGCTGTTACTTAATCTGTGTGTAAGTAGTTTCTTAATATTGGGCTGGTGTGTGCGTTTTGATGTTACAGAACGTAGGTTATTACATTTATGTAACAAGGACTGTATTTGTTTGTGTAAGTGGTGTGGCAAGACAGGTGGGCACCATTCTCATTACTTTGAGATTAGTAGTTACTTTGACAAAGTCCACATCACAAATGCGTTTTACTTTTCTTCATGTGCTTTCATTGGGCTGTGTGTGCAAGATTGCGTGTTGCTCATTCTGTAGTGTTACATGTGCAAGTTATTATAAGTGTAATGTGGTCCCTACATTAATTTATTTACGTAGATTGCATGGCGTTGTATTGGTGAATTGCTTGAGAACTTCATATATTGTGTGTGCAATGAAGGCTTTTGGCTTGCATCAGCATCCTCCTTTTTTCCCCTTTAACTTACCTATGCTACTAAACCAACTATCTATTTGTGTGAAGTATGTCTCTGTATGGAGAACATCTGCAACATTATTGTACGCGTACATCATTGTCTAGCATAGGTGACTGGATGATGTTTTTTAAGATACCTCTTTTCATTGCTGATTTGTGAGTGCCTATCACTCATTCACTTTATATATGTGGGTTCATTTGTCTGTTTGAGATTTGTTGAATATTTTTTACGTGTTTCTTGAACTTATCTAGAAAATTTAAATTCTGACTTTAGCGTTATGTTGATTGACATTTGGTAAATTTACTCGTCAGACCAGTTAAGTTACTTATGTGTTTTTTCTAAAAAACAAAAACTTTCTATAAAAAGAAAACTTATTCAATATTTATAAATGTGAATTTTTATAATCATTGTTTTTCAAAATCTTTGAATGTCGTGTATGCAATTTAACTGATTGTTATACAATAATTTTTACAACAGAATTTTATTTTTTTGAGTTAAATGATTAGGACATATATTTTCTTGTACTTTACTAGAAACTCACTCGTTTCCTTGTGCTTGGTTGTGGGCATCTGGCTTGTTAATCGCTGGTGTCCCGACCAAACTAATGGACAGGCAGTACCAAAAAATCAGTTTCAGTATTATTCTGAGTTTTGCTGCTCCTGTTGCCCTGTTTCCTGTTTTTCTAAAACAGTTTCTACCTCCTATTATTTTGTTCTGTTTTTTAAAGTTCAATGCAGTTGTGGAGTTAAGTGTGTGTGCTACAGATATGTATGCTACTTGACCCTTTTTAGAGAGTTATTATTTGAGATGTCTTTTGTTTGAGGTTGATGTAATCCCCTATTTTTATTCATGTTGATCTCTGTTTATAATTTTTTTTCTTTGTATCTGTGGAAGTTTTGTTAAATTTTAGTTGAGTTGTCTATTAGTTTGTTCATGTCTATGCATGTGACTGTAAATACATTAATATAGGAGTATTTGATATTGTAAGTTAACTTGAAATATTCAGTGCATGTAAACATAGAACCCTTTCATTTGTTTTATGAAGCCACTCTTTGGTTTTAGTTTATTTATGTTTGTGGACATGGTTACCAAGTTGATATGGCAGCAGCCCTCTGAGTTATCCTAGCCTTCTTTTTGACTGACTGGACTTCTGAGTGTTTTGCTGCTTTGCCTCATGGCAGCTTAGATGAGATAATTTTCCATGTTTCTTAAAATATTTTTTTAATTTCTGCTCTTGTATCGCATGCATTCAACTCAAAACATTGTGATAATTTCCTAACTTGTTGTATATAATTTTCTGGGTTGTTAAATCTGATTGGTTTGAGAACAATTTGTCATTTACTATTTAGTCAAATCTGTACCTACTTGTTTTAAAAGAAAATAATTTTTGTTTTGTTTTGCTACCGCGCGGGCGAGGAGCTGAGGATAATTCATCGGCACAATAAAACCATTTGGGACACTTGTCCAAGAATACCTTGTGAAAATGTATATATTAAACAAACCTTATCACAATTATCCACAATCCACATACTGTATCACATAGTATTGAGGTAGCTGCTATATTCAGATCTGAATCTGCATGTGGAAAGACATAATGAGCGAACTGATCCTCAGGAAACCTGTTGCCATCAGCTTAAAGTTGTTTCCAGAATTATTTTTTTATCACACTTGGCCAGTGATTGATTCCTTTAAAACCATTGTACCTGTTTGACAGGGCTAGTCACCAAAAAAAAGGGAAGACAAAGGGAAGCCATTCTGTTGGAATTGATTGAACTTCAAGAGAAGCTGCCAAAATTCAAGAAAGACCATGCCCATAGCAACCCATCACTAAGGATTGCATAGATTTGTCATTGGATATAAATGTGGCATTCATAGTGAAGTGGACCAGTTAAGATGACAGGGATAATGAGCGACCATCAATGAATGCTTCATAGTTATATCTGTGGACAGTATTCTTTCAGTCGAGATGCTAAAGACCCATCTGTCCATTCATACTCTCTATTGTTAACAAGGTCAATGACCTCAAATCGAGGGATATCCTCAACAGCCTTCTTTCCAATTACAATAATTAAAGGGTAGCCACTGCGCTTAGCTTCTGTTATGCGACGGCCAATAGATAAATTAGTACGATCATCAACAATTACATCATTTTTGAAAAAACTATTACATTCAATAGAATCATAAAGACCTTGGGTCAAAACTGATGCAGCTTCCTCTTTACTGCCATGCTGTAAAAATTAATACAGGGATCAGATAACAATTGTAGCAGCAGCAGAAAGAACACTTAATTCTGTTGTAAAATTTCACCTACTTTAGGAGTGATAATGCAAGCTTTATAAGGAGCTATGCATAGTGGCCATCGCAGTTCTGTTGGAAGTGATAGAGCTTCAAGAGATGCAGCCAAAATTCGAGAAAGGCCAAGCCCATAGCAACCCATAATTAAGGATTGCATAGATTTGTCATCGGCTATAAATGTTGCATTCATAGGCTTTGAGTACCTTGTACCAAGAATGAATGTATGCCCAACCTGAAAGTTACATCTTTGTAAGTTATGCCCTGATATGGAGCAAATACAAATGTTCCAATTATTTATTATTGTGAATTACTTCAATTCCAGCCATAGTAGAAATATCAGTCGACTGGCAGTGAGGACATGAATCAGATTGAATCTGCAGAAGGGATGCATTGGTAGGAACGTTGCATGCATTACACTGAATAATCCGCTCTTCTCCTGCCTCACATGGATAATGAAATTCATGTGACATAGAACCTCCCATCATTCCAGAATCACCTTCAACTAAAATAGCATAACAGACATTTGTTAATAAGATTCAGAAAGCGTTTTCATGATATTAGCAGACAAAGACATGATGGACAAACCTCTGACATACTTGACACCAAGTTCTTGGAAAATTCCATTGTACGCCTCTGTCACTGATTCATATGTTTTGAGAGCATTCTCAGCATTTGCATCAAATGAATAGAGATCTTTCATGACGAATTCTCGAGTTCTCAATAGACCAAAGCGTGGTCTTGGCTCATCTCTGTATTTATTTGAAATTTGATACAAAAGGAGAGGAAGGCGTCGGTATGATAGTCTTGTCCCTGCAGCCAACAGCTCAGTTATTGCTTCTTCATGTGTCTAAAACATTAAAAATAGGCTTTTAGGAAATAATTATTGGGGCATGTTTACATAAAAATGTAATCAAACCAAAGGGAAATTATACTTACTGGCCCTAATATGTAGCGTTTTTTATGACGGTCCTCAAGAAGAAAGAGTTCACTACCAGCTTTTGCTTCTTCCAAGCGACCTTTTTGACAAACATAAAATTTAAATGCATATAATTTAAAACACACAAAGTGATGTTTGATCGATGTTAGATTGAGAGTACAATTTCTCAAATCTGTTCCTGCGGAATAAAGGTTGTACTTCAAAAACACTCGAGTGCATACCTGACTGTTCCCAGAGCTGGTCAGATGTGAGCGTTGGCAGTAAGATTTTTTGCGCACCGACCTTTTCCATGTACCGATCAACAATATTTTCGAGTTTCTTTAAGGCTCTCATTCCAAGAGGCAATAATGTATACAGACCAGTAGAGGTGGCCCTTATGACACCTTGCTCCAACATCATCTAAAAACAGACAAAGCCGCATGATAACTAGTCATATTAAATAAGGAATCAAACAATATTGGAACGTCACACACTTACCCGCTGGCTTTTAATAAGTTGTGAATTTTGAAGAGACTTTGGTATAGGGGCTGTCGGCTGGAACAATCTTGTTACTCGATTCATGGTGATGTTGTCTTCCGTTTGAGATGTCCAAATTCTAGCGGTGCAATGTGCGTCACAATCTCAAGTAGTCAACATAAATAATGACCAAGCGGAAGACGCATTTCTGAAGATCCACAGTACTGATTTTGTTGTCTTTGCTCTAAGCATTCCTGGAGCGACGTGCTGTTGCTTGCTGTGCTGCGGTAGCAGCAGCAGAAGCAGAAGATAACAAAACCTAGCCTCGGTCTCGTTATGAAAAATTTGTGCAGTATCTCAAACCCGTATTCATATTGAATTTATGAGAGTGTGCTTCATTTTCATTTTCTTGCAGTTGGCCTCTTTCCGGCCGAGCGCTGAATGCTTTGTTTTGACGTTTTGATACAAATGGTTTGAGTTGCGTTTCCCATTCCTCTGCAACGTTTTGACAGGAAGGTTTCGTGTTTTGCAGCAACCGGGAAGCTGGAAAGGTGTGAGAGCTAAGCCGGTCACATTTGGGCGCGATACATAACCTAGTGAAGTAGGTATTTTCTGGCTGTCATATTTATTAGTCTTTCTTATTGTGTTGAAAGGTATCCATCAAAAGACTAAAAACAATGTACTCTGCTTTTCTCAAAAAGAAAATTATGTTTTGTTATTGTGGTTTATGTGTTCAACTATCCAACCGACTGTCGTATTGTTTTGTGTCAATGATGCACAATTAATTGTGTTGTTTCTCTTCTGCAGAATGGCTTCAGGGCCAAGTGAGGAAAATCCTACTCAATCTCAAATCGCTCAGAAGACATGGGAACTATCCAACAACATTGAGACCATATCATCCACAGATGAAATTTATCGGTATGACCGGAAACAACAACAAGATATACTTGCTGCAAAGCCTTGGGAAAAAGAGTAGGTACCTTTAACTGGATTATATGATGGTTGATGTTATCTGCCAATATGACCACTACTTGAATGTTCTACTTTACTTCATCCATTTGTATCCCAATTGGAATAATATTTTTCTGTTCCAGCCCACATTTTTTTAAGGAAATGAAGATTTCTGCTCTGGCATTGTTAAAGATGGTAATGCATGCTCGATCTGGTGGCACCCTTGAAGTGATGGGATTACTTCTAGGGAAAGTTGATGCAAACACCATGATAGTCATGGACTCGTTTGCATTACCTGTGGAGGGTACTGAAACAAGAGTTAATGCTCAGGCCCAAGCTTATGAGTACATGACTGCATATATAGAGTCTGCTAAAACGGTTTGTGGGAACTCCATTCTCTATCTGATCTTATGTTTATGTTATGTCCATGCATTTGATTTTGTTGTTGGCTTGTTTCAGGTTGGACGACTTGAAAATGCTATTGGCTGGTATCACTCACATCCAGGCTATGGCTGTTGGCTCTCTGGAATAGATGTCTCCACTCAAATGCTTAATCAAAATTTCCAAGAGCCGTTTGTTGCCATTGTCATTGATCCTGTGCGCACAATTTCTGCTGGCAAAGTTTGTCTAGGTGCTTTCAGAACATACCCTAAGGTATTTAAAAAAATTCGTGTTAGTTCTACTCCTTTTCCTCCACCTGTTTGTCTTAGCATAGCCCTTTCTTGGTTGTTGTAGGGATTTAAACCAGCAAATGAGGAGCCTTCAGAATATCAAACTATACCCTTGAACAAAATCGAGGACTTTGGTGTGCACTGCAAGCAGTACTATTCCCTAGAGGTGTCATATTTCAAATCTGCTCTTGATCGAAGGCTTTTGGATTCACTTTGGAATAAGTACTGGGTCAACACCCTTGGATCTAGCTCATTGATCACAAATGCTGACTACACTACTGGACAGGTAGGTTTTTCCGATGATCAGTAATCTTCATAGCCAATCACATTCCTTACATCTGTGCTTATTTGATTACAGATTCTGGACTTATCAGACAAGCTAGAACAGTCAGCTGCACTTGGCCGCATTGGTCATTGGATGCAAGATCCCCATGAGAAGCGCTGTGAAGACAAGCTAATGAAAGTAACTCGTGACAGCAACAAGACAACAATAGAAATCATTCACGGTCTAATGGCTCAAACTATTAAGGATAGATTATTCAATCATGTTGCACCTGGTCCTAGTGGTTCAAATAACTAGTGACAATTAAACAAACCTTTTCCTTCCATCAATATTTTGATGTGTAAATTTATGATCTTCGTAAATTTGCTGTAAATGAGTAATTGTTTGTTATTAAGTTACATTGGGCTCTTAAGTCACTGTCCTTGTAAAACTGATGTGTTGTATGTTCGATATTTAAGTTGTTTATTTTTTCTGTTTCTCTGAGTGCAGAAGTTCTAGTGATTCATCTGAAGGTGTCTTTGGTGTTGAAGTTTATGTATATCTTTCCAGTGTACATGTGAGATTCTTTACTTGTAAATTTTAATTCAAGAATAATCAATAATTCATGTCAAACTGTCCTCATGTAAATTTCCCTCCATCCCTCACTACGAAACTTCCAAATAGACGACTTGAGCTAGGCGAAAGAAGAGGAAGAAAATACCTTCCCGAACATGGCGGCCGGCCCCTCATTGGTCCTAGCAGCCGACGGCGGCCGTCCGCCATGTTCGGGAAGGTGTTTTCTTCCTCTTCTTTCGCCTAGCTCAAGTCGTCTATTGCAACAAAGTCCTATAGAGCCCACAAGGGACAAGAAAGGACGTGAAAATTTTTCATACATTATTCGCAGCTGTTCGAGACCCTACTGAATGTGAATGTGTCAAATTTTTTCGTCCTTCAAAAGAGAGACAGGAGAGAGAAGGTGCAGCTGTGTTGTCTGTGGGGGTGTGGGATATTATTGAAGAAGATCTGGCTCAATTTAATCCGTGGGCATGGCGAGTCTACGTTACACGCGGAATCTCTTCTTGAGAGGAATATGTGTCATATATATGTTCGCGTTCGCTTCTTTCTACATACAAATTCCAGGCAAGCTTCGTGGACCGGCAAATTTTACCGGCTTCCTGTCCTTATTTATGCGTTCTTTTAGTCATTAATGCATGAGACTCTATGAAATTAATTGTGCTAACTGCCCAAATTGTTTCTTTCAATGCATTCCTGACCCATACTGGCCAAAACCTCAATAATACCCATTTTATCATCATGGTACCCGGCTGTAGCGTAGCGTCTGTGGATGCACACCGGGCACAAATTGTTGTACCTTTAAATTGGGGTTTAAACGCTGATTCACCAATTCTGATGATTTCTGATATTTGGGTCTCGAACCGGAGATTCGAATTAGATTGCCTTTCTCTCTTCGTGCCTCCTCTTAGCCCCAACTTCCTTGTTATAATTTCATTCTATCTGTTTACCAGGACTGTATGGCACAAATGGCATTTTACCTGCCCGGACTCAGCTGATAGTGAAAGGAGCAGACTCTATCTTGACTCGCATTAAGGTGAAACCAACTCTGCTATGGCTTGCTCCGTTTCTGGGGCTCAATACGGAGTACATGATGGATGTGTTGGCTCTGGCAGGAACTGGCTTAGGTCTTGCAGGGTAAGTTTCTTGCCTTTTAAAATAAACATTCACTTTATTCCGTCCTCTTTTTGTTTTTATTATTCCATGTTTCTGTATCACAGATTTGTTAAACAATCCTTCTGCACGGCGCCAGTGTTTGCCATACTTTGGGCACTGTATTTCTCCCTTTGCCAAGTTGGTCAAACTTTCATGGAATTCCAATGGTATGTACCACTACATAATGTAGGGTTCTAATACAAGGACCCTTATGTCTTCTTATCTTATTTTGTTTCTCCAGGGACTCTCTCTTGCTGGAATCTGGCATTTTAGCTATCATTGCAGCCCCGTGGTTCAGTAGTGGTGCGAGGAAGCAATCGCCCACAGATCCTATTTCCCTTTTCTTGGTACGTTGGCTTTTCTTCCGACTCATGTTCTCATCTGGTGTTGTTAAGCTGACAAGTGGTTGTCCGACATGGTGGGGTCTGAACGGTATGTATCAATGGCCTGTTACTTTCCTGAGTCATAGAGTAGATAGTCTTAAGTTTTCCCTTTTTTGTTTATTCATTTTCAGCTCTCAATGTTCATTTTGAGTCTCAGTGCATTCCAACTCCTCTTGCCTGGTATGCACACCACCTTCCAACTGGTTTTCTTCGTTTCGTGACTGCTGTTGCTATATTAGCAGAAACATTGGTCCCAGCCTTTTTCTTCTTCCCTTTAAGATCAGTCCGAACCTTTGCCTTTGTCCTTCAGGTAACAGTACATCAAATTAACAGTGTTTTCTTGTGTTCAAGAAAGAAACAAATCTCTGAATATGTTACATTTATGCATCATGCTTCCAGGTGTTTCTGCAGTTAAATATCATCCTGACTGGAAACTACAATTTCTTCAACCTTTTGACTATCACACTCAGTCTCTCTCTTTTGGATGATGATTTCTTTATTAGTGAGTTTGTTTTCACCTTTCATGATTTATCAATCAGATTGTCAAATTTAAATACCCATAAGAAACAAGATAATTTAATTTTTATTTTGTTGTTCTTTTCTTAGGTAATACTTCCTCTGCCTTCAACAAGATACTTTCTCAGTTGTCCAGTCTTCTAGCTGCTGCCTTGTTATCATTTGCAATGGTGATGCTTTTCAATGTCAAATTCAATCCAGATTGGTCCATTGAGACTTCTATTGGTTAGTGTAAAGATATAACATGTTATGCCTTTCTACCTTCTCCCTCAAATCACTCATCAATTTTCGCAATTTTTTTTCTTTCAGGATTCAATTTAAGTGAATTTGATAATGCTCTTGGGGCAGCACTTCCACAGACAGTGATCATAGGTTTCTGCTTTTTGGTTTTCGCTGCTGTAAGTGGTGTTGTCGAATCCTTACTTCGCCCCAGTAAATACCTGAATAAAGCTCTAGCTTTAAGTTCAGTTCTCATCTATACAAGTATTGCCGTTTTTGTGTTTGGAATCAGTCTTGTAAGTAATACATACTTCCTGTTCATTCAAAACAGTTTTTAATCTGTCCAATAATTTTTCATGCCATAATTTTCGTTTTACTTCATCAGGTTCCATACTCCACTTTGCACCCTAGTGGCAACACCACAGTTAACTCTGAAATTCGGTCATGGCATACTAAAACACAACAATGGCGCCTTGTTGATGGTTATGGTCTTTTTCGTCGAATGACTGGAGTTGAAGGGAGGCCAGAAGTGATTATTGAAGGCTCTAATTCTCTGGAGGGGCCATGGAAAGAATATGAGTTCCTTTACAAACCTGGAAATGTAAATTCTACCCTTCCATTTGTTGGTGAGTTCCCCTTAACGTGTTTGTTTTAGTGTAAATAGCATGTAAGTAGCACTCTTACTCTTAGTAGGAACAAAATGATGTAGTTGCTATTGGTTGAGTCAGTTGTCTTCATTCTCCTATATGAACTGGACTCTAAATATCTTCCTTTCAACCTGTTCAGCTCCATACCAGCCAAGACTAGATTGGCAAATGTGGTTTGCTGCTCTTGGCACTTACCATCAGAATCCCTGGCTGATGAGCTTGACTTATAGAATACTCTCGGGGCAACCAGAAGTCTTGCAGTTGCTGGATGCATCACGTAACCCATTCCCAAGCAAACCACCAAGATACCTCAAAGCAAGCTTGTACCATTATCGTTACACTGACTGGAAACAAAGGTATTTAAGATAGTCGTTGTTTGGCTGTGCTGTATCAGGTTCAGAAATAAACTGTTTTTGTAACAATATTAACTCTTCTCATCAGGTGGGGCTCTAGCTGGTGGACCAGGGAAAAGGTTGGTGAGTACTTCCCTATCTTCACTCGTGATCATCCACCATTGCTAGATTATCTGAACACTATGAAAGTTTTGAGTCCAAGTGCTAAAGAGGAGCCTCCAGTTGCATGGCTCAAGCTTGCTCTCGATTTTATCCGGTCATTTGTTGCTTTGGTGGAGCCAAGCATTCTCCTGATATCACTTTTCATATCTGGCTGTGTCCTTATTACAACGATCCTTAGCCAAGGTCAGCCCCCCAAACGGTTGAGACAAAAGTGAACTGTCCAAATTACTGTCCTCTTAATTCATAAAAGTAGTGTTACACCTGAGGAAAGGTACTCTGTGGCCATGATCTTATTTTGTTCTATGATAAACAAAGTTACTAGTTTTTTTTTTTATACGTCTTCGGTCCAGTCAGCTTTAAGAGCAGTTAATATATGAAAAGATCTGAGTCCAATTATTTTGTAGCTTCATTTGCAGTTTCTATTGTATGTACAAAGTAAATCTTATCTTGCCTTTTTATACCTTGTTATTGTAACTTCTTTATGTCTGCACTGTTTTCAGTATTCATTGCATTTCATTTTATATTCTGTAAGAGATGTTTATTTGTGCGTTTTTAAAATTAAGAATTTAGAATTAATATCATGTATCTGTTACATCAACATACATTTATTAATGTGGTACTAATAGTCTGTGCCTTAATGTTTGAGACAAATGTGTTCCTCTTTTTTTAAATTAATACTATAATAATCGGTGTAGAATTTTTTATGTTGTAATGAATTAAATTTTTAACCAAATATCTAGTGTTCATTGTGGGAGAAGGAACAGCAACAGAAGAGTAGAGACTTATGTATCTTTCTCTACTGTTCCTCACCACTCAGGGAATGAATTGTATGACTACTCATGTATCAAACATGGGCTTTAATAAATAGGTCTGAAACACAACTGCACAATAAAATAATAAAATTACATTAAAATTTCTTTACATTGCAAAGGGTGGTAATGATGCTCACAGGAAATCACAATTTACTACATGCAACTAGTCACTGCCATTCCTGTTGCATACTGGTCTGTTATACAATGACACTCTAGCTTCAACCTTTGTGATCATATCACAAGGATATCTGCTCTTCAGAAATTCGTCATACATAATAGCAATTTAGAACAAACACAAGTGGTCGTTGTGGAAATTTTGGTTGTCTTTTACATTGAAAAGTTATATAAATACTCTCACTATTTTATGTCTACATTAGTAATTAGAAACATCACAGATAACATAATGGTAATATTATAAATATTGTGTAACATATGAAGACATGAATGAGGACAGAAGACTTCATTTGATAAAGATCCAATTATAGGTCCATTGTTACTTTAAACCTTAAAAACAAATTAGAAGCAAGAAATGTTTTTGACCTTTTTGCAACACCAGAGGACTAGACTATTTAATGTTGGAAGGCAGGCATGGGTAACCACATTTGCCTGAAGGGTATTTTCAGCAGTCCAATCTTCCACAGGGCATCTTTGAATTGAAGCACAACTTCATTTTTGGCTTTCCATTGCCAATATACCTCATGACCTCCAACCAATTCAAAATTCTTTAGGTGTATAATACTGAGATCATAATTCTTTAAAGAAAACAAATAAAAAAACAGATGAGTAATAGAGAGCACTTTTGGTGACCATCACATGATTTCTTTACATTTGTGAGCTGTCTATTTTGTGACTTGCATAGAAATGAAACAAACAAACAGTCTTTCACAGACATTTGCAGATATGCATTTTAAAGTCAGATATGTTTTTTGGAATATAGTTTTAGCATGTATACGAATATGAAGTGAGCAGAAACAGCTCTGGTCTTAGTCAACAACTGCCTACTTAAATGTCACACCAGGCTAGTTACGTCACAGGTAGAGGTGGAGTCTATGACTCGTGGCTCTAATAGCACAAAGGTCTATTATCTGAATTTACTCTTATGAGGAATTTAATGAAAGCATGAGTTGATGGTCAAGTGCTAATGACCCACTACAAAAATAAAAAAGCTCATGAATAGGTGCACTCTTATGCACACAACACACACACTCAAACACACATTCATGTTCACTCACACACTCATACACTAACACACAATCATTACTTTGCTAGGGCTGGAAGGTTGTGAAATCCTTGAAGCGGAAGAAACAGAAACCTTCCTTCCAAGATAGCTTGTTCAAATTACCATAAATCGGTTACTGCCAAAATGCAAATGCAACACCTGCTTGTTTGGAAATTAATGACGGAGACATTTTGTCGCATTTAAAACAAAATATGCATAGTTGAGTTGTTGGTGTCAAAGCACCAGACCTATCTCAATAAATAATTCATGATTGGCACTTTGACTATGATTCAAAGCACAGTAATTTGATTATCGAATTTAAGACTAACATTTACTGCTTTTAACTTTGAAGAAATTCAATCCACAGGGAAAGATCACAAATTCGTACTAGCTTCCAAAACTGATACAGTTGTGCATAGTTCAGCTTTTTCTGACACATTTCCTCAATTATGTAAGCTTAGAAATGACACATGTGAAATATTTTTAGAGCTGAAACTTGATGAAGTTGGGCATAATTTTTATGTCATGTACCGCATCATGGCCCGCAAGGCATACATTAATTCCGCTTGCATTCTAGCTTCCAGGATCATAAGATTTACATGGATCTGTGGAAAAAGAAAACAATAATAAAGTCATGTGTGAAAGATTAAATTTTTCTACCCTGAACATGTTTTTTTCTCCACAGAACTTACCTTTTCTGAATGCAAAAATTCGCGCATCACTCTGTCATAATCTCGCCTTGTTAGCCTCTCAGGATAGCAGCAAGCTGTCTTAATGAATGCCTTGAGGGATCGCTCAACAAGTTGGTTGACCTCTCCATAGTCATAATCGTCATGCCTAAAACAGACATAGAACATAAACAAAACCGTAAATACCATTGGGAAAGGAAAACAGACAAAAATTGTTGAATGATTTACCTTATGCCATATATACACTGTATGTAATTCCAAACAGCTCTACGAAATGTTGTAGTGTCAACATCTTGTCTCCCTCCCATGGTGTTGTATGTTAAACTGGCAGTTGTCTTAAACTTCTCATCCAGAAGGTTGCCAACTTCACTGTAGAGCCGATTCACCAAGGAATAGCCATGGTCATCCCAAGAGTAATCCTGTAACGTTGAGAAAGGGTGATGTTTGGTCATACATTTTCATCTGACTGAGCTCAAGGTAAAAGTAAATGTACTTTTGGTAATACCTGAACTCTGAAAGTGGGAATCTGAACACCACGATGAGCAAAGTCCACATAAGCAAACTTCGGATCTTCTACAAAATGACTGATGTCTGGTTTTATGGGTGGAGTACGCTGGCCAAGAGGTACAGACAGCTCTGCACTCTGAGATTCAACATGTTCAAATCTTTTCTTGTGCTCCTCAGCAGAGACTTCCTCTGAGCGCTCTGATAGGGTCTTCATCCTTTCCATAAGCGTATCAACTCCAACTTCGGGTTCAGTTGGGGACATGGCAACTGGATTCTCATCTTTGAAACCTGGTCAAAATAAGATAAGATAAGTTTTTTTATAATAATGAAAGACTTCTACAGTATTACAAAATCAAGAACAATATCAATACCTTTGCGCTCATCAAGCTTTACTGTTGTGGTCTGTGCTTTAGAACTATGAGGAGGAGGAGAAAGGGTTAATACAGGCTCTTCTACTCTGGTAGTTTCACAACTTAAGTGGTATCTTGGTTCATCGTTGATCCCTGATCCAAAGACAAAGCTTGCCAAGGAGTGGAAGTGAGCAAGCAGCACTAGAGCATGCACAACTTCGGCCAATGACCAGCTGTCCTGTCCTTTGGTAAGTTTCTGAGGGGGAAAACACAACAAAAAAAAACATTATTTTAATTTTAAGTCATCTGAAATAGTGTCAACTTATTTTATATAGATTAATTTTTTTTTAAAGTAGGGTTTGAACTAAAACATAACACACCTCTATGTGAGATTTATTTAGTAACCACGGCCGATGTGCTAGGATTTTATTTATTTCATAGAGATCGTGCAGTTTTGGTGGAATGTGGCTTAAACCTTTCAGCCACATTTGATTTCCTCCCTGCATCAGGAATTCCTGCTTCTGCATATTGATTAGGTAATCGCACTGATGTCGTCCTGCAGCCTGGACAAAACAGAATGAACAAAGAAAAACTAAGTGAACAGTTCTTGCCAGCATCATCATTAAAACTGATCAGAAAAATCATGATGTCCTTACCATGATGGCAATATAATGCCGGTAATCAAAAGGCAGAGGTCCATCTCCACGAAGAATGAAGTTCTGTGTAGTTCGATAGATGTCCAAATACGTTGGGTGGAAGGCCATAAGATTTGTCACCGCATCCACACAGTTACTTGGCAGACAGGAATCAATGAAGAGGGACTCGATCTGCGAACAAAATAAAATTTCACATTAAATACAATCCTTTTCTTTTTTTTTCGTTTCTGGCATGAGCCCAGTCCCGGCGTGGTGCCGCGACTGGGATCTCGTAGGATCACGCCGCGAGACGGCTGCTACTCTGCGAAACCCCTAACCTCCATCGTTTGCAAAACTTATTTGTGGCGATATGGAAGGAAGAAGGCGAGCGGGCCAGTCGGCTCTGGACGCTGCTCTGGAAACAGGAGACGGGCTCCGGCATTGCACCGCATGACAAGCATGGCAAGCGCGACGCGTCCAGAGAGCCGCGGACGCAGAGTCGCAGAACATCCCGACGCCCAGCAACCAGCAACCCGAGAGCAGACGACGCGAGACTGACATCCGGACCGGACCCGGACCGGACACCCCTCCCCCTCCCTTCACCTCGCGGTGGGCGCTGGGTAGGCAACCATTCCGACGCCCGAGCACGCTGGCCGCAAGCGCAAGCATTGCCTGCTGCCAGGCGTCAACGTGCCCAAAGCCCACGCCGCCGGCGAGTGGAGTGAACGCAGCGCAGACGAGGTCGCAGGTCGCAGGAGTGCAAAGGCGAAGGAGAGAGTTCGACTTTGAGCCTCCCCCCCCCTCCCCTCACCCTTCCTGCTAGCACGTGTCCTTCCGTCCGTCCGTCCTTCCGCCCGCGTCCTTGGCAGGGGGCCCGGGGGCCCAAAGGGGGCGGGACGCGGACGAGGGGGCGCCACGGACGTGTCATCGCCGTCACCCACCGCGCGCCCCTCTCTGCCTGCCTGGCTGCTGCCTGCCTGCTCCCGGGCGCCCGGGCCAGGCAGGACTCTAGCCGGGCTAGTCGGCTGGCCCCCCGGGGGGTCATCGGCGGGGCTCGGGTGGGCTGGGCAGGCTGGGCTCCCGGGCGGGCTGGGCTGGGCTGGGCTGGCTGGGCGAGGGTGGAGTGCCCAAGGATGTTATATTTCTGGGAGTGCTGCGCGGAGGGGCCCTTGGCAGGCAGGGCCCTTCGCTGGAGGGAAGGGAAGGGTGCGGACTGCGCGACAAGGCGGCCGCTTTCGCTTCTCTCTTTGTCTCTCTTCGCGTGCAGCGGGGGATCCAAATCAATCGGCTTTACTTCAAATCCCCGTTCAACACTCGACAGCAGACTCATTCCGAGAGTCGTTTTCGTCGCTGTGCGGCATGCCCCACGAGTGCGAGAGAGAGAGAGAGAGAGAGAGAGAGAGAGAGAGAGAGAGAGAGAGAGAGAGAGAGAGACAGTGCGACGAAAATGACTCTCGGAAACCGTCTACAGCGTCCTTGTCCAGCGTCCTTCGCCGCGACTTGAGTCCTGAGTCTCCTTCTCCGAGCAGCCCCTGTTTCCGCTGCGAATAGAGCGGCGGGGCAGTGCCAGGGCAGTGCCAGGGCAGTCCATGCGGCAGTGGTTCAGTGGCAGTCCGTTGTTGCTTTTTTTCGGCCAGCCCAAACAGCCCAAACGGAATGTCCTTGGCTGGCGGACGGGACGGGCGGAGGCTCGGACCGGCAGACGGACAGACGGACTACACAAGCGGCAACGCCGCCCGCACCAGCACCGCGCCCGCGGATAGGCGTGGCGGGGCGGGGCGGGGCGGGGCGGGGCGCTCGCCCAGCTCTCTAGCGTGGTGCGAGCACTAGTCAGCGGATCAAAACAAACAAAGCCAAGTTGGCCGGTTCGGCCCGAAAACCCGCCGCGCCGCGCCGCCATGCCTGAACTGACTGAAACTGGCCGGCCGGGTTTGCAGCACCGTTGCGGCTCGCGTCGCGGCCCGAGCCTCGGGAAGCTCGGAAACCTCGGTTCAGTACACCTGGTCCAACCCGGGCCATTGCAGCGACGGCCTGGCTGCCATTCTGCATGCAACGGGCAGTAAATCTAACACGAGCACACAAACACGTGTGTGTGTGTGTGTGTTTGTGTGCATGGCTCTTTGAGAGTGTGTATACGTGTGTGTTGGTGTGGGTGTGTGTGGGTACCGTTCCGTGTCCGAGCCGTGTCCGCGAGAAGTACGGAGGGAGGGGAGGGGAGGGAAGTACCAAAGAGGGGGGAGGGGGGAGGGGCGGAAGAGGCGCCGGGCTGCGAGTCAACGCGGCCTTTGTTAGGGCACGACTCACACAGTCTCTCTCACACACACACTCACACGAGCCAGTGATCACTCCAACGTGAAAACTCTGCCGGAATCAAGTGCAAGTCGTTGTCCGCGCTGTTAGCCAGTTTCGCCGCCCACGTGACCGAATATTTGGCCATTTCCTCCCCCCTCCCCCCGATCACGTGGTTGCGGCGCCGTCCCATGGCACGGCCTACGGCCTACGGCACGGCCTATGGAAGAAGACGAAGGCGGCAGAAAGCAACGCAAGGTTCCCAAGGTGAGCGAGGAGACCGAGGAGACGGCCTGCAGGTTGATTCCGAGCACTGCTTTCGTCGCTGTGTCTCTCTCGCACCCACACGGGACGCCCCGCGAGTGCGAGAGAGGCTGCCGTGCTCGGGAATCGGTCTGCAGGGAGTCGGCTTTGTTGTCCAGCGATACCACAGGCAATGCCTGGCAGTGCCCCGGGATGACTGGCGGAACCGCGGCGGGAAACAAGGAAAACGAGCAAAACACATCGAGGCGTGCTGTGTCTCTGTCGTGCGAGGGAGCGAGACGGCGCGGTTTTGGAGCGAGCCCGTTGAACGCGGCAACGCCGGCAACGCCGCCTAAATCCCGTCTGGCCTAGAAAAGGCAAGGGCCGGACATAGGCCGCCATGGGCCGCCATGCCGCCATAGGCCCGCAGTAGCGGCGGGCAGGGGCGGACTAGGACGGGAACGGCGACGGCCGGGACGACCGGGACGAGGATGAAATTGGACGAGCTGGCGGCGGCCCCGCGGCCCCGCGGCCCCAGCGCGGCGGCCAGCCCGGCAGCCAGCCAACCGGTTTAGATGTGCCCCACGCCCCCCTCCCCCTGCTGGAGGCCCTGGAAGTCCTGGGGGTCCTGGGGGGTGCACGGCGGCGCGGGCTGCAGCGCTGCAGCGCGGAGGACGACGACGAGAGGGGCAAGATGCAGTGCGACCGGCCCGACCGCTTCGTCGCTCTGGTTCTCTCCCACCGCCAGAGAGAGACCGATTCAGAGAGTCGCTCTGCCTCTCTCGCACTCATGGGGCGTCCCGCACAGGGGCGAGAGAGACGGAGCGACGAAAACGACTCTCGGAATCGGTCTGCTGCAGCGGCACCCGCCTGCACCCGCCGCGGTGCGGTGCTCCTCGTGGAGACCGGAGGCCTTAAGGCGGAAGATCACGATCAAAATTTTTTTAGGTGAATACACCATTTGAAAGGTCTTGCTGAGTACATGAACGCCCTGGTATCGGTTTCTCGAAAAAATTTTTAGTTTTTCCGGAAAAGCTTGTTAAAGTTGAGAAAATTCACTTACGCGGACATAGACCACTCCTAGAATATGCACATTTGTGGCATTTTTGAGGTATCCCCCGGTTCGTCTTGACCTCCTCTAGGGAATGACATATTTTATATTTCGCGGAAGGGCCTATTTCGCCCTGCAGAGCCCTTGAAAAACCTTGAAAATCGCTCTGTGTTTTGATCTTACGCTGCAAAGCGCCCTGAAGCCTCAGGAGAAAATAAAATACGTCATTCCCTGCGTAAACTAATGCTCCATGCAGCCACCAAGTTTCATCGCAAAATTCCGAGCGGGGCGAAAGTGGTCTATGTCCGCGCAAACACTAGCACTCCGGAGCCCCCGACTTTCCTGGATATCTTTGATACCCGCCCGCACAGCACGGGGGGTGGTGGCGGGGGTCGGGGGGCAGGCGACGGCTTGGCTGCGCTCGGCACGGCCAGGGTGCCGCTGCAGCGCGCTGCAGGCAGACAGACCGATCGGCCGGCGGCCGCGTCCAGGCTGGCTGCCTGGCAGGCCAGCACGTCGCTCGCTCCTTGCGCGGAACGAGGGAGTGCGGGGAGGACGGAATGCTGCCCTCCCGGACGCGGCCGCTCGGAGCTTTGGCGCGCTCGCGCGCCGATTCGAATCGTGCGTGCAGCAGTACCAGCCGCCGCAGGGACGAAATGTGACGCGCAGTTTCGCGCGGACATCGACCATTCAGGCACTGCTCGGAATTTTAGGCTGAAATTTGACAGGGCCGTAGAGGAACAGTGAGCCGAGAGGATGGTGTGATCTAATTTTTGCTAACTCTTTAGGGGCCCACATGGTGAAGGTCTGTCGGCCCGTGGCGCACAGCCTAGACTCCATGGCGGCCAGGGAAGTCCGGCGAAGCCGATGCGAGTCGTTGCGAGCTCTCGGATGGAATTCCCTGGTCGCACTTGCGCCAGCAGACCGTATCCCAGCGACACGAGATGCGTCATGAAAATTTTTAATTTTATCCGCGGCCGCGTTAGCACCACCAGTCGCCGACACTCGCCAGCTTCGCCCGGCACCATGCTGCATCATTGGCCTAAAATTTTCCTAATTTTGAGATTTGAGTTTAAAAACATTTGGCGCATTTTAAAGCGCGTTTCAAGACAGGACATCACATTTATTTCTCCCAGATGAGTGGATGCAGGGAACTGCTCCACTTGAGTACCACGCTGGTTCTTACCACTTGCGCGGATAGACGGTTCAAAATTGAATCTGAATTTTTTGAGGGAAATTCGGTAGGGGCGTTATGGCTATTGGCGGAGGGGGGATTGTATTTCACTATTCGGTCAAATGTCTAGTCACCACTTGATGGGCGGTCAGAGTGTCCCCCGAAGCCCGGTCCAAAATAATTGTACCATTTTTTAACTCTCATTTTTTAATATTTATTTCAGTGTCACGCAAGGATTTGAATGTAAAGCGCTACATCATGTATTTTTTTTAGCAGATGATACCTTTACAAGTACAGCGCAGGGCTCCATGCAACACTTTGACCTCTCACCAAAAAGAGACAAGACGTCTGAACCTGAAATAAAATATACCACCCCCTCCGCCAATCGCCTTGTAACGCCCCTGTCGAATTTCAGTGAAAACTCTGGAGCGGACTGTGAACTGTCTATGTCCGCGCAACTCATATAGCGCCGAAAACAAGTAAAGCACCATCTCCTTCACCCAAATCCATCTCGGGGAAATGGGTATAGAAATAATCAGCGTTTCTTGAAACGCGCTTTGGGATAGTATACAAAAATACACAATTTTTGACCCAAATCACTAAACTTGTAAAATTTCCTGCCCGCCGACTGGAGCCCGCTGGAGGCCGACGAACATCTCGCCAGGCTCTCCGCTGGGCTGCCGGGTTTCCCTGGGTGGCGTAGTGGAAGCTAGTCCCGGCGGTGTCATTGTCCGTCTCTGTCTTTCCCACTTGCTGCTGCGAGTGCGACAAAGACAATGCGGCGACACATGCGGCGGGGCTGACGCACCCCGGCGGCCAGGTAGACGCCGGCAGGCCGGCCGCAGCCGGCCGCGTGCACCGCGCTGGGCTAGCCGGACTACCTGAGGCTCCCCGCCCACCCCGCCCCGCCCCGGGCGAGCGGACAGGAAAGTAAACTGCAATGACTTCGCCATTGTTTGGGGAATAGGGACAGCAGGTGAACTGTATCGGCCGGAGCGCTACGCAGGCAGCACGTGCCGCCCGGCAGAGCAGCCAGCCCGTCCCTCGGCTGCAGACGGTGGCGCAGCCTGGCGGATTTTAGTTTCGTGCGCGGCGTGATCTTCCGCCTTAACCTTAGACCGGCAGATACTGGCAGTGCTAGCATTGCAGGCAGGCAGGCAGGCGCCGCGCACTTTGCAACAGTTTGCGGTTGTTGTTTGCACGGCGCAGGCCGGCCGCCGCGACTGCCTTCTGCTTCAGTGCTTCTGCTTGCAACAGTGGCTCTGCTCGTCCGCGAGATACATTCGCCTTTTTTCGGTACCGGCCGGCGCTCGCGAGCCCCCGCGGCCCCCCCGAGGCCCCACGCCCCGCCCGCAGCGTGGGCGTTATGTCACCCACACATGCACACACAGACAGAAGTGCCAGTGGGCAGATAACAGGGTGACGTGTACGGTCACAAGAGACGAAGCGAGTGGGTACACAACCGACTGGGACGCAGCGGAGCCATGGCGGAGCCGAGCTGCATAGCCTGATTCCGAAGAGGCAGAGCGGCGAGAACGACCACTCTCGGACTCAGGCTGCAGAACGAGCAGCGGTAGCGTCGTCGGCCACGGCCGATACAGCGACAAAGCACGAAATATTGATTCAAATTTCACTTGTTACATCTGCCGGGAACGGCTTGCGGGGAGGGAGGGGTCGTCACACAATGGGGGAACAGAAAGGGAAAGTCGGGGGGGGGGGGCAGCGCAAGGAAGTCTTGGGCTAGGCCTATCGACCGAGTGCGGGACGGGGAAGGGAGAGGGCGAGCGAGAGAGGGAGAGAGAGAGAGGGGGGGGGGAGGGGAGCGGCGGGGTGGCGTTGGGGGTGGAGGCGGAGACGCTCCCCAAGACACAATGGCTGGATGTAAATGGCGCCGGGCAAACTGCAGCCCCTCGAGACGGGTAGACGGATGTGCAATGTGCAGTCGAAGTGCACCGGGGGCATTCCGAGCCGAGCCGAGGCGGCTGCAGACTCATCCTCCCCCTCGCCGCCGACGACGAAACGCATCAGCGTGGACTGCGATAGACACTTGCCGAGGGCGGCCCGGCGGGGCGGCTTGGCTTGTCTCGGCCGTCTCGGCGTGGACACCCCCGCACCTGTCTGGCCTGGCCGCCCTGCCTCGGCTCCGTGGGGGTGGGGGAGGGTGGCTGGGTACCCCGTCGTCAACGTCGTCAACGTCGTCAACGTCGTCAACGTCCCCGCGGCGGAGCGAGCGGGCGGAGCCCCTGACCAAGCCGGGGTAGGCAACGCCGTCACACGCATGCGCACCGGGTTGCCTAGCCGGCGCGCCTGACCCCGCCAGTGGGCGCCAAAGCTCGAGCTGAACGCGTTTTGAGCTCCAGAGTCGCTAAGCAGGACTCGAACCGAACGTGTGACCCCACCAATGGATTCCTCGTTCGGAGAGCAATCCATTGGTGGGGTCACACGTGCGGTTCGAGTCTCATTTAGCGACTCTGCAGCTCAAAACGCGTCCGGAACTTTGACCGCCTCCACCGGTCTTCTGGCAAATCCACTGTGCACCGGACACAGGACGACAGGGCGAAGGACGCCACAATGACACGAGTGCCAGTCTATCTCCATGGTGCCAGGGCACTGCCAGCCGTGCGGCGGCGTGCTCCACTCTCGCGTTGTTTACCCGCCCGGCGGTCCCAAGCCTGTCCCAAGCCTGTCCCACCCAGGCGACAGCACACTCATTCCGAGAGTCTCGCTCTGTCTCTCTCGCACCCATACGGGACGCCCCGTGAGTGCGAGAGGGACAGAGCGACGAAAACGACTCTCGGAGTCAGTCCGCCCGGCTCAAAGCCCGCCCCGTTTTGGCCCGCCTCCGCCGTGCCTCCGCCGTGCCTGCGCCGTGTGGCTGTGTACCACCGCGCCGCTACGTGCCGCGAACCATCAGCCCGCCGGTAAACAAAAGACATAGTCGCGACGCCGGCCAAGTTGGACCAAGTAACCAAATAACAAGTCAACAGCGACGCCGCTCTCTAGTTGCTCGTCATTCATGGGCCGCGACCAGCACACAGTCGTATTCGTCGCTCTGTCTCTCTCGCACCCCCGGGGCGCTGTGGCAAGGTGCGAGAGAGACATAGCGTCCTAGGAAGGAAGGCGGACTTGCGGCCCGCGCGCGGGTACCCGCAGGCAGCCCCGCAGGCAGCCCCGCAGGCAGCGATAGGCACTAGGCACAAGACGCACGCGGGGGGGGGGGGGACTTGTTTTGCTGGCCACCGCGGCTACTCGGCTACTCGCCGGCCAAGTCAACACGCCCGGCTCCTTCCCGCGTCCGCCGCGCCGTCCCGGCAGAGTTAGTCTGCCCGGTCTGCCCGCGAGTCCTCCACCGGCTGGCCGGGCTGGCCGCTGACGACGGCCCGCCAGGCTGACAGCAGCTGACCGCGGAATGGTTCCGAGTCGCTGTGTCCGTCTCTGTCGCACTCGCGGGGCGTCCCGCGGAGGTGCGAGAGAGACGGAGCGACGGATGAGTCTGCCGACCGACACCGCGCCGCGCCGCGCCGCTGACGAAGGCTGACGCAATGCCGCGGCCGACGGGTCATCCCGCGCCGGGCTGTGCTTTGCCGGCTTTGCCTGGCCGGCCTGCCTGGCGGAGAGGCGGCCCCAGACGGCCCCCGCTATCACGCCCGGAGCACCTCGCCGAGCACCTGAGGCTGCGTGATATGATAACAGTGATAAGAAGCGGTACGGCGGGGCGGAGCGGAGCGCCGACGACCACCCAATCGCGACCTAACCTAAATCCGAACCGCCGGCCTGTCTGTCTGTCCGTTTGTCCGTCCGTCCGTCTGTCTGTCCGTCAGGCGCGGATAGGTGTGAGCGAGCCAGAGCGACGATTGCACCGAGGCGCCCAATTAAAACTTTCCTCCAGTTGCATGCCGTGCATGTGTCGCGGAGTGCCTTGACTCGCCATCGCGGCTTGCGGCTTTCGCAGCCACACCGCTAAAAGGAGGAGGCAAGTGTTTACAGCGTAAAGTGTATCGGAGCCGCACTTTCCCAGGGAGAATGCACAGTGCCTGCACAGTGCCTGCACAGTGCCTGCACTTGGGCACGCTGCCGCCCGGAGGATCGGTTCGTCGCTCTGTCTCTCTCGCACCCCCACGGCGCGCCCCGTGCGTGCGAGAGAGATGCCCGACGAGTGGGGTGCGTTCCGGAGTCTCCCTCAGGCACCCCGCGGGACGCACCGCGAGTGCGAGGGAGAAGGAGTAGCGGCCTCTCTCTCCCACTCGCAGTCAGCTGGTGAGGTGCATTCTAGAACTAGCGGCGTTTATCGCATTCCGTTCGCCGATTCGCGACAGTGTGAAAAGGGCGGCAAGGACCCACAGCGTGAACGCAATGAACACAGTGATGTGCCTTGTTGCCAGCCGGTGCGAGTTGCGAGCCGAGCCGGGGCCCCGCCGATGCCGCGCGTGTAGAGGAGTGTACAGCTGTACAGTACAGAGCCAGTACAGTCAGTCTCGGGCGGTGTTTGTGTGTGCAATAGAAAACACTTCCTGGCAGCTGAGTTGCCCCTTCCCCGCTCGGACGCCCACCCGACCCGCAGGCAGGCAGCCAGGCGGGCGGCCAGCCAGGCAGGCAGCCAGGCAGCCAGCCAGGCGGGGGCCCAGCTGATGCACTGCAGGGCGTCACGGCTGCACTCGCTAGCCTCGCTCGATCCCGGCATCCGACATCCCGGCCAGTACTAGATTCATTCCGAATGGGTTGTCTCTCTCTCACCCACACACTAATGTAGCGTCCCGCGTGGGTGCGAGAGAGACAGACAGACCGGCCGGCGGCGGAAGGGCCGGGCCGCGCGCCGCCGCGCCGGCAGCTCCGTGATGACACCCGGTCTCTACTTACGTCATGCCCGTGGGCTCCATGGTCCCCGAAGTACAGCCCGGCGATGCTGGCCGGCGCCCGTTCCGGGTCGTGGCCCCACGTCGCGGCGCCCACGCCGGCGTCCTGGAGGCCGGCGGCCGTCCTGGAGGCCGTCCTGGAGGCCGTCCTGCTCGCCGACCGCGCCTGGTCGGCCTGGTCCTGGTCCGCGGAGATGGCGGACGCCGAGGACGACGTCGCGGTGGCCTCCGTGGCCACGGCCACCGTCGCGCCCATGCCCACCGTCATGTTGAAGGCGAAGCCGCGAAGCCTTTGTGCTGCGCTGGCCGCGCTGGCTGCTGCACCACGGTCACCAAGGCACGCCGGGCACTAGACGTGGCACGCCACGGCACGGCCGGCACACTGTGTGCACTGTGTGCGGCACACTGCAGCGGCCAAAGCGCACTCGCACGCACTGCACACTGCACTCGCAAACTCGCTGGCGGGGCTACGCTACGCTACGCCTGTCGAACCGCCTGCTCTCTGCCAGGCCCGTTGACACTGCGTTCACACTGAGTCGACACCGCGCCGACACCGCGTTGACACTGAGTTGACACTGTCAGTCCAGCTCGTCCCGTCTTCAACGCGCACAGCAAGCTCCGTGATCTCTCGCGGCCGCCTCCCCGTCTCACACTGCCGGCCAGACCAGAGGCGCGCCGCCCAGCGCCGCGGCCACGCGCCCCCTCCCCGCGCCCCCCTCCCCGCGCCCCCGCCCCGCGCCCCCGCGGAGCCCCGCGGACCGGGCCCCGGCGGCCCCAGCGGGGCCCCGACCAGCCCGACCAGCCCCGAAGCGGCGCTTCGGCTCTCGCGAAGGACTTCGGCACGGCGCTCGGCTAGCTCGCCTAGTTCGGCCCCTCACACTGTTGCTGAAGCCGCGACCGCCGCGACGGACGGCAACCGCCGCGCGATTCGCAAGAGTCGTTTCGTCGCTTTGTCTCGGTCGCACTCGTGGGACTCTCCTTCAGGGTGCGAGGGAGACGCCGAGTCACTCGGCTGGCGGAAGGAAAAGTGCGAATGTAAGAGTGTTAAGTGGTCAACACATGCTGCCGCCAGCCGCCGGCCGCCGGGAGCCGCTGAGCTGTTGGCTCCGCTCGTGTTTGTCTCGGATGACTATTTATTTGCACGCCTGTTACGCCTGCACTGTATGGGCATGGCGCTCGGCGCGGCCGCTGAGGTGCCGAAACCGAAACGCTCGATGCCCATCAGCAGACTGATCAGAGGCGTTCTCGTCGCTCCGTCTCTCTCGCACCCGTACGGGACGCCCCTCGAGAGCGAGGGAGGCAGAGCGACGAACACGCCTCTCGGAGTCGGGCTTCATGCTGCCGGGCTGGGCCGGGCTGGGCTGGGTCGCTTGCCCGTCATAAATGGCCCCCGGTTCATTTCCGGAAGCCTTCCGCCGGACATCGCCGTTCAAGGACGCGTTGAAGGACGCGGCGAGGGCCTGCAGGGCTTGCTGCAGGGCGGCCCCCGGGCCCCCGGGCCCCCGGCAACGAGCGGCCGCCGCGTCCACGATCCATGACGGCGTTCAGGGCGGTGTCGATGACGGTGTCCATGACAGTGATCATGGCGGTGTCCATGGCAGTGTCCGTGGCAGTGTCCATGGCGGTGTCCATGGCAGTGTCCGTGGCAGTGACCATGAAGGCTTTCTTGTCGGCGTTCATGGCGGTGCCGATGACGGCGCTCATGGCGGCGGGGTCGACGACGGCGTCCACGTCGGCCTCCGTGTTGACCTCCATGACGGCGCCATGGCCCACTCGACCATTATTCGGTGCGGCAGCCTACATTTGATGCAAATTTGTTGAGCCATTCGCCATGACAGCGGCTTGGCTGGGCCAGGGCTCTAGGCTTGGCCCGGCCGGGCTGGGCGGGGTGCTCTGCCACGTTCTGCGGGCCGCTCCGTCCGTTCCGCGGGTGCCGCGGGTGGGTCGGGGGTGGCAGGGGTAGGCGGGGTGCGGGCCGAGGTCGCAGCTTGGAATCCTGGGGAGGGAAGGGGGAGGGGAGGGGGCCACGAAGAGGACCCGCTGGGCCTGGCTGGGCCTGGCTGGGCCTGGCGTCCGCGCCACGCAGCGAGGCCAGCAAAGCGACCTTGGCGGAGGATTCTATGACTTTGTAGTGCCAGCGGCCAGCCACTGCGAGACTCCGAGACTAGCCAAGCCGGCCGAGCGAAGCAGCACAGCACATGGAAGCGCCAAGCGCCGCACACGCCCAGTCGTTTTCGTCGCTCTGTCTCTCTCGCACTCATAGGGGGTCCCGTTTAGGTGCGAGAGAGACAGAGCGACGAGAACGACTCTCGGAATGAGTCTGCTGCAGGCGCCGTCCGTGTGGTCTGCCCTCGGCCAGGCGCGTGGGTCGCTAGCTCGCGCTCGTATTCGCAGAGGAGTCAACGGAGTCAATGGAGTCAACACACTTTTGGTCTGTTTCTCTCTCCCCGCGCGTCGCCTAGTCTCCAGCGCGGCAGCGCGGCAACGACAACAACAACAAACCCACGACGGCACGTGCGGCACCGCGCGGCACCGGCCTGCCTGCCTTTTGGCCTTCTTGGCCGCGGCGAGGAGGAAGCGGCCAAGCAGCGTGCTCCGCGCCGGACGGACGGCGGCCGCCGCGAGGGCGTGAGTCACCACCGCCGCGGTGCACCAGTCGCCACGCCGCGCCACGCCACGCCAAGCCACGCCACGCCGCGCCACGCCGCCGCGCCACGGCTCTTTGTTCTCGACGCGGAGATCGCTTGCATCGCGAATATTGGATCGGCTGGACACACGCCGCGCCGCCACGCGGCTGCAGTGACTGTTGCCGAGCGGCGCGCCGCCGCCGCATCCGTCTGGGGCAATCCGAACCAATCCGAACGGCGCTTCGTCCCTCTGTCTCTGTCTCTCTCGCACTCGCACCCCGACGGGCCGTGCGAGAGAGACGGACAGAGCGACGCCGTGGGGAATCAGCCTGCTGGGGCAATCCGCACCACCTGCACGTTCACAATCGCAGACAGGCAGGCGGCAGGCTGACGCACTCACACGGCGACACTGGGCACACACAGACACAGTAGACGCACACACACAGGGCCACTGGGCACACACAGACACTGTATAGACGCACACACACAGGGCCACTGGGCACACACAGACAGGGGTAGAAGCACACACACAGGCGCACACACGTGGCGGGCGAGGCGGCGGGTTGTTGCCTAGTGCCTTCCCACCTGGGCCATGCCAGGCCATGCCTGGGCTGTCTGGCTGTCTGGGCCGACGCGGCGTAGCCTAGATACGACTATCAGTGGCGCGCCAACCCGATGGCAACATAGCGACAAAGTCTGTAAGTGCGTCAAGTACGTGCACTAGTTCGTAACGCTAATTGTTGCTAGCAAAGTCCGCCGCGCGGCGTCGCGGACCTCTGCCCACTGCTGTCTCTCTCGCACCCTCAAGGGGACGCCTCGTGAGTGCGAGAGGGACAGGCCAAAGCACGCTTTCTCGAACGAACATCCCCTCCCCCTTTCTTTTCCTTGTTGCGGCTTTTCCTGATCAAACTGCCAGAGGGTGGAAATTGATCCGGGGCTGCCGTGACGGTGACAAATTAAGAGCGAAATCGATACGCGGTGCGCGGCGCCGCCGGATCCTTTCTTTCGGTCTTTCAGTCCAAAAGTCCAAGCCAAGGGCCGGTAGGGCCGGTGCGTCAGCATGGGGGATGAAACAGGGCTCTGACGTCAGCCCGCGTCGCCCGCCGAACGGCACGACGGCCAAACGAACGGCCGAATGATTCCGAGAGTCGCTTTCGTCGCTCTGTCTCTCTCGCACCTATGCGGCACGCCCCGTGAGTGCGAGAGAGACAGCGCGACGAGAACGGCTCTCGGAATCGGTGCGACGCACGTGGAGGGAGCGGGGTGGCCGGCCCGGCCCGGCCAGTGTGGTGGTGCCAAGCCAGAGAGATAATGACCGGGGTGCCCACCGCGCCCTTCACTTCCAGCGCGTCGCGCTGTCTCTCTCGCACCTACACGGCACGCCCCATGAGTGCGAGAGAGACAGCGCGATGACGGAAGCGCCACCAGTGGCCGTGCTCCCCGCTTTTCCACGCGAACACTACGTACGTACGTCGGGGAGGGGATATGCCGCAGTGGAAAAGTTGCCGCTAATGTTTTGGTGGAAAAGCTCGCCGACGACAACGCCGCGCCCTCGCCGTCGTGGAAACGAACTCAACGTGAGCAGCGCGCGTGCGCCCGCAGCAAACAGAGTGTTGTCTACGCGCGCGAATGTGTGAGTGTGTGTCGGTGTGTTTGTTGCCGTGTGTCTGGGTGAACCTGTGTGGGCGGAGGGATCCAGCGCGGGGTTGAAAGCCGTTCAACACACGGCACGCGCGGGGTTGTGAGGGGTTGCGCGGGGCCGTGCGGGTTTCCCAAGGCCGAATCGGAGGACATGCTACCCTCCCCCCACACCGCAAGGCCCCGCCGCCCCCAGCCCCCAGAAGCAAAAGCCCAGTGTACCACCCCAGTCCCAGCCCCCAACGCACGACGCCTGCTGCTTGCTCTTCCCAGGGGGCTGCCGGTGGGGCTCTCTCTCTCTCTCGCACTCACGGGGCGTCCCGCTTGCGAGCGAGAGGTGCGAGAGAGACAGAGAGCGCGTCACTCTTGGCCCTGCTGACACTGGCTGACACTCGGACACACGCATTCGCACGGAAGCAGCGGTCGGCAGCGCAGAGAGTTTCCCCGAGCCACGCTCATTTTGCCGCGCACAGCCACTTTCCCTTTCGACCCCCCCCCCCCATTTCGACTTCCTGCCCGCCCCGCACGCACACAGGAGCAAATGGAGCGGCGGATTATATGTGTTTGTGGGTAGTGTGTGTGTGTGTCTGCGTGTGTGTCCGTGTGTGGCATGGGATGCGCTAGCCCAGCAGCCCCGGCACTGCCCGGGACTCGGTGGGCATGACGTCAATGCGTTCGGACAACACGAAGCTCGGAGCCAGAGAGCGGGAGAGAGAGGGAGGGGGGGGGATGATGCCCGGACTGCTCTAGGGCCCTCTTCTGCCTTCCGTCCGCGTCCCCCACGTCCTCCTGGTGCTTATTGTGCACGGTACTTATTGAGTAACCTAAAGTGGCAGAAGAAGAAGAAGAAGACGAAGAAGAAGAAGTAGAAGAAGAAGAAGAAGAAGAAGAAGAAGAAGAAGAAGAAGAAGAAGAAGAAGAAGAAGAAGAAGAAGAAGAAGAAGAGAAACAGAAGGCTCGGTGGGGTTGTTTGGCTCAGTGGGGTTTTTGAGCGCTAGGGGCCCTGATCGGCGCGCGCCCCCCCGGATGGCACGGCGTGTTGTGAGGTGCGGGGTTCTACGATGGCGCGCCGAGCCACCTCAGAAATCCCCTGTCGGCCGGTATCGCGTTGCAGCGCCAGCGAGCGCCAGCCAGGCAGCGCCATTTGACTGCGGAGCGGAATGGCGCAAGCCGGCAAATCTGTGTTTTCGGTCCCCGGCCGGCTTCCAAAAGCCTCGCGGGTGAGCTCAGAGCGGGCTGACTCCGAGTGGCGGGGTTGTCTCTGTCGCACCCGTCGGCCGTTCCTTATGAGGTGTCATGCGTGCGAGAGAGAGAGAAAGAGCGACCGTTCGGATTCGCTTTCCAGATAGAGATAGCGCGCCGTTATCGCTGACAAGGGCAGCCTACATTGTTGGA